TATGAATTGGATGAGCCTGACTGCCATCTTTGAACGTTTCTATATTCTTTAATTCATGTACAATGAGCTTGTGCTTTTTTAGAGTTATTTTTAAAAGGGAGGGGAAGGAAGCATCAAGCAGGGTGTAAACCTCTGGGCTAACTATGAGCAACTCAGGGAAGGGCCCCGACCCACTGACCTCTTCTCCATAATCATCGCTACTCTTCCTAAGCCAGCACTTTGGAGAGATGGGTTCCTCTCACTGCTACAACGGCACTGTAAGGCAGGTATTATTGACATTCGCATTTCACACAAGAGTTCACCAAGGCATAGAAAGTGAGGGAATTTGTTTAGGCAGGGCGTGAACCCAGCCTGGGGGGTTCAGGGCCTGCACACTGAACCCTGGATGGCCTCCAGCTTTGGGACCCAGGTAAGCCCACACGGTCCCTTTACTGCCACCTTCAGGAAGGTCATGGAGACCCCACTCTGTCAGTAACCTACTCCTGGTATACACAGCCTGGCCGGACAGCTCCAGAGGCTACGACTTGGAGACGTAGCGGAAGGTCCTCCCTGAAGGTGAGAAAGAGTGAGCACGACTGGAGTGTGATCTCTGGAGGCAAGTGTCCCCAGATGGCTTATCTCATTCACTAAGCGCTGCGCTGGCTCCTCTGGGTGCTGGCGAATGGAAATGGCCTGGAGGAGCAGGACGAGCCCTGGTTGGGGACGCAGCTTCCAGTCCCGGGTCTGCCATTAATCAGTGGCACGGCCTGAGCAATGCCAGCCCTCTCTCAAGATCTCTGAAGCCAAAGGCCGCATATTCTGAGTGTCTCAACTTCTCAAGGAAACCCTGGCTGGATGGCTCGGTTGGTTAGAGCATCGTGCTGTACAAAAAAAGGCTGCAGGTTTGACTCCCAGTCAGGGCACATACCTAGTTTTGGGGTTAGATCTCTGGTCGGGGCGCATATGGGACGCAACCAATCAATATTTCTCTCTCACATCGATGTTTCTCTCTCTTTGTCTGTCTCTCTAAGATAAAGAAACATGTCCTTGGGTGAGGATTAAAAAAATGCTCAGTGTTAAAAATGGCATCCAGGAGCATCAGAAATAAATTCCCCTTTGCTCTGGCAAAGGACCGGGTTCTCGCTCATCACTCCACAGGCGCCCTAACTGGTATTTTTATTCCCCTGAAAATAACCTTTTCAAAAGGCTCCTGCAAACCACCGCACTGGCCTTTCTGTGGACAGGATGCTTTCATGCTCGGTGGTGGGGAGTCCCCATTAGCCTCAATTACAGCAGATTTGAACAGGCCCCTGGGGAGACTGAAGCCACAGGGAAGCCACGGAGCACATTTAATCAAAAGACGCTGGACATCCCGACTCCATGCCCCAGAGACCCTGGTCTAGGGGAGGGTGTGTGACCCCCAGGCAACTCTTCGTGACCTTTTGTTGCTGGTGGGACTCACAAGGAACCCTGCAGGGGTCCACTTGGCTACTTTGGCCAACAACTGAGAAGAAAACAGCAGACTTTTAACAACATGCAATTTGTGTAAAATAATTCAGGCTTCGATCTATCTGGGTTAGGGTTGCTGCCACGGATTAGCTCACACTCAGTGGCTTTAAGAAGACAGAGCTTGATTCTCTGGTTCAGACATGCCCTGCGATCTCCCCAACAGAACAGCGGCAATGTCTTCTTTTAAGGCAGAAGGGAACAGCAGGGGGTGGAGGCTCAGAGGCCGATGGACCTTTGCAGGACATGGAAAATGGCAAGGTCAAGATTCTTGAAAGAAAAGGTCTTCTGGGGATCATCCAACCCAGGAACAGTGAACAGTTTCTATTTCTGGTGTCAGCGCCAAACGACTGATAGTTTCTTGGGACGCTGTGTTGAGGACTCTGAGGCTGTGTTTCTGAGCCTTAATGGAACGAGTGGTCTCCTGGGGCTGTTGCAACACACCACCACAAATGTGGTGGCTCAAAACCATGGAAATCTCACACCCCTCACAGTCTGAAGGCCAGAAGCCTGGCACCAAGTGCTCCCTCCCGCTGAGGCTTTGGGGGCCAGGCCTTCCTTGCACCTGCCAGCTCCTCCTGACTGACGGTTTACGGCAGCATCACTTCAGTGTCTGCCTCTATCTTTCCGTGGCTTCTTCCCTTCCTGTCTGTCTCTGTGTATATCTCTCCCTCCTTTTTCTTATAAAGACACCAGCCACTGGATTTAAGAATTCCTCTAAATCCAGCATAAGATCATTTTGAGACCCTTAACTAATTCTACAAAGACCCTCTTTCCTAATAGAGTCACATTCTGAGGTTTTGCGTGGACCTGATTTTGCGGGAGTGGGGGACACCCAAACCAACCCAGTGCAAATGCCACAATGGTGTGGGAAGCCTGACATGAATTCAGAACAGGACAGGGGTAGATCCATGCCTTCTGTCTGCCACCCGATGCAGCCCAGGCCCCCAGCTTCACAGATGATGGAACTAGGCCCAGAGAATGAGAGACTTGGGTAGTGTCATACACCTAGGTAATGACACATGCCACAGCAGGCCAGAATAACGGAGAGAACACCGAGGTGGGGAAGGAGGTGGGGGTGGGATGGAGATGAAATCACTGTTTTAGTTGTGGGATAATGGAGGACATCTTTGCCTTTGAAACCATTGTGCAAAGGGGATCTAGATGGAGAAATAATAATAATAATAATAATAATAATATAATCCTGTTGAAAAATTGAGGCTCCTTGGAAGAATTAGTACCACTCTGAGGATCAGTTTGCAGCAGACTGTCTGCCCTTTTTTTTTTTTTTTTTGCACCAAATAAACAAGAGCTCCTCTCAGACTGGTTCCTGAAAGCATCGTGCATACATTTGCCTCCTGGTTGCCATGGTGAATGATGCTGATCTGTTGAAATGAATAATGTGAGCATTGGGGGCGACAGTGGGAATACTCAGACGGTGGCGAGAGAGACACCAGGAGAGGCCAGAGCAGAGGCGGGGAAAAGGCACCATTCCATTAGTCCGGGTCCACTCTGCCTCTGAAGACTGCACTCTAACCAGATCTGCCGCAAGCATCAGGTAAGGGACATAAATGGCTCTTCTTGGAAAAGAAAATGGCTCTTCCTTTCACACTTGCTTGGAGGAGGGCCAGGCAATGGTCATATGAATAGCTACAAATCTGGGGAATTTCCAAACAGAAGCTGAGGAAGAAAAATAAATAAGGGAGATGGATTTGGTCCTAAAAGCTGAGGATGTTGCTAGCATCTTGACAGAAAGCCTTAAAAATGCCTGCTGTCGGAACTCAGTCTACAAAGACAGCCAGCAGCAGGGGGGGAGGCAAACGGGAGGAGATTCATGACAAGAAACAGTTTCCTGATCACCCCTGCTGGAAGGGTTTTACGAAGGTCATTGCCTCTGCACCCTTAGCAGAGAATTAAGCTCTTCCTCTGTGGTCAGAAGTGTATTTATAAAGCTGTATGGGATGTCGGGGTGGTGTGAGCCCACCGCAGGGAGCACAAATATTCAGTGTCCTTGGCAAATGACCTCTCCTGGAGGGACCTGAGCACATCTGTCATCCTTGCCGTCCCCATTTTTGGGGGAGGAAATTTCCTGCCAAAGAGAAAGGAACTACTCCCCTTCCTGAGCATTTTAGTCCACTGTCTCCCTCAGAGAAGAAAAACAAGAACTAAAAAATCACTCACGTCCTCTTAGGAAGGAATATGGGCATGAAAACAGAAGGTTGGAGGGAGGCAGGGAGGATAGAGCAGCTTGTACCAGAAATCAGCCTGGCTTGATATCCAGTTCTGGTTAAAATCTGATTGATGGTTTTTCACCAGGCCACTGCAGTCTAAAGCAAAGCCTCCTGTATTGCTTGTGAGAGGAGGAGCGTAGCACAGAGCCGGGGAGAACTGTACATCACCATACACGGACTGAATGCGGCTGCCCGGGAATTTTAGACCAGGGGCAAGTCAGCGAAGGGGAAAGAAACAAAGTGAAAAGGCTTGCAGACGGCGTTCCCTTCCCAGAGTGGGGAGGCTGGCGATCTGAGGAGGGCTCCTTTGGCTTGTCTGCAAAAACAGCGCTGGGTCCTCCTGCCAGCCTCCCTTTTCGCAGTGACTTTCTATTACTAAACCCAGTGGCCTCGCATTTGAAAGGCCAGCAGTTCAGTGGCTTTGCGTCTGGGTCTTAGCTGAGTCACCTCAGATTGCTCATCTGTAAAAGGGGGATCCAGCTGGAGAGTGTGTTGAAGAGTAAAGGAAATTTATTATTGTACGTGGCACACCTAGCGTGACCTGTGACACAGCCATGGCACACTAACCGTCGGTGTCACTGCCACTATTAACGTTCATAGGACCGCTAGTATTAAACAGTAACAGCTGTGTTGGTGTTCTGAGCTGACTCTACTGACCCAGGAAGCTAATTTCCTGCATACCTCTGGCTTTGAAAGAAATAAACAAAATAAAAGCAGAGGCTGTGGGGAGAAATCAGCTGCCCACGGGTGATGAAGCAGATCTCCTCTTGCCACGGGCAACAGAAGTGGGAGGCAGAATGTTCTAGATGGCTGAGCTACCAGCACTTGGAGCAGACGTAAAAGGTCCAGAAGGGAAATTTAGGAGAAACACTTGCCTAACTTGGAGGTCACACACCTGTGATGAACCTGTGATGACTCACGCAGGGACTCGGAGGTTGTCCTTTCTGTGCCATTTTTTTTGAAGGGGTGGGAACAGTGTTGTGTTCAAAGGATCAGAGCCTAGGCCGGATGAGGCCAGGGGACGTGGGCCCATAGTTTTTAGGTCTGCAGGTCACCAGCTTTGGCACAGAAAAGCCCCAGTTTGAACTCCTGTCCTGCTGTTGTTTAGCGACGCCTAGTTGAGTAATGTTGCCTTTGGGCCTCCATTTTTTTTATTGTTTGTAAAATCAGGGCAATGTTAGTCTCCATTGCGAATATTCCATACACAGTGGCTATGATGATGATAAACAACTATGTAGCTAAGGAGAAGTCACTCTTTACTTTGATTCTGGTTGCAGAATCAGGATGAACATCGAGGTTGGCAACGTTTCTTATACAGGAGCCACCGTTTCCTGGTCGTCCTCGGAGCCCTGCCTGGAGGACTATTACCATATTATGTACAGGCCCAACTGGAACAGCATCTTCTCCGGCTATCTTCGCTACAGCTTCCAACACGAGGAGAAGGTGCCTAAAACCGTCAGCACGGTGGTGCTGGACCACCTCACCCCTTCCACCTTCTACTTCCTGTGCGTCAGCTGCAAGAAGATTACCTTCCCCTACAGGCACTACTGCACCATGTTCCACACCATGGAGAAGAACCCACTGTCTTCTGGAAGGCCCCTGGTGGACCCCCACGTGTCCCTGTGGGTCCTGCTGGCCATTCTGATGGCCTGCTTCACGGCCGTCTTAGCATTCGTCTGCCTCCAGTTCTGGTGCATCCGCTGCCATGAGCCTCGCTGGTCTTACAGAGCTGGCCAAACGGAGGAAGCCAATGGGGGGGTGAGGTGGCCAGAGGAGGCCCGGGTCCTGGGTCTGAGGGACGAAGACCAGCAGCGGCTTCCCCTGGTGGAGATGCCATGCGAGGATTCCGGAGCTGGAACAGAACCCGAAGTGGAAGCCGACCAGGCTGCCTCGGACGCGGGCGATGATCAGCCTGCCATTCCGCCCCATTTCAAGGAGTGAGAGGTGGGGAGGAGGCAGCCCTCACCGGGTAGCATGAAGCCCCCCGCAGAGTAGTTCCTTTGTAAAAACGTGTCTGTAGACTGACCACCCAGGTCTCCCCTCAAATGCCAGTGTTCTTATGGCCCACCTGGGTCCACAGATGCCCTGTGACAAAGCTCCTCAAGCCAGAGGACAGAAAGAGATCCCCCACGGTGTGCTAAGGTAGACACTTGGCATCACTTAGAAGTGTTCGTTCGAGGAGGGGCAGTTCGAAATTTTAAAAGTTATTTTAATATTAAAACTAATATGAATATATGAAGATGTAGAAACTGAAATTTGCATGACTTAAATAAAACACAATATTCCAAGGCAGTTTTGGGGTTGAAGACAGGCTCTCTGGGTTACGGTCTCAGTCAGCTCTCAGACGCCCCTGCTGCTGGGGGTGGTTTGGAAAGGTGGGAGAAGGCTTGCTTCTGAGTGTTTTCCAACTTTCAGGTAATCACACATCACCTTGTACATCATTTCATTTTTTTAAGCCATATCCTATCTTTACTATTATCAGCAAATATTTTTATTTTATTTATTTATTTTTTGAAGACTTTACTTACTTATTTTTAGAAAAAGAGGAAGTGAAGAAGAAAGAGAGGGAGAGAAACATCAATATGTGGTTGCCTCTCACCTGCTCCCTCCTGGGGATCTGACCTATGACCCAGGCACGTGCCCCGACTGGGAATGGAACCTGTGACCCTTTGGTTCACCGGCCAGTGCTCAATCCACTGAGCCACACTGGCCAGGGCACAAATATTTTTAAGTTTAAAAAAATGTAAACATATTTTAAAAGGCAGCCTTACACACCTTCCTGCTATAAATAGAAGAGACATAAGAATAAATGGAATGAAAACAAAATCATAAATTTGACTTAGATACCATTGCCTACTAAAGACCTCAAGTTTAAGGCTTACTTTCTAGTCTTCAATAAAAAGGGAGATCAGCAAGCACCGGAGAAGTATTAAGGACCCATTAGCACCAACAGAAGTCTTTCTCCTTGACACAGTCCATGAGGTTTGAAAACTACCTAAAATGCGCTCTGAAGGCGTCCTCTGATTTGAGAAAGGTGTGCTGGCCAGACCGGCTGTTCTAGAGAAGCTACCTGCTCTCTCCCAGCTTCATCCTAAGACCTTCTAAGCCCCACCTTAGGGCTGACTAGAGGGAACTCATCTTGGTTCATCCCACTTCCTCAGAGGGCTCCTGACCCAGAGGCCGCCTTTCCTAACAGCATTCTATTTATCCAGCCGGCTCCTCTTCTAAGTTCACGTGAACCTGGGCTCAAAGGTGGCCATTTTTATTCAATCACAAGGAGAGAGGTTGGCTTTTGTGTTATTGTTGTTGTTGACCCATTTCATCATTTCAGTGAATTCTTCAGTCCTCCCATCACTGACCCCTTCCCAGGGTGAGAAGTGCATCTCCTACCTATGCTGTGTGACTGGGGGACTTGGAGAACAGTGTGTCCCTGTTGCCACCCTGGGTGTGGAAATGGAACGTGAGGAGGGCAGAGGTGATGTCTATTTTAATCTCTAGCATATCCCCAGCATGTAAAATCAAGCCGTGTCTGGGCTACAGCGAGTGCTTAATAAGTGTCTATTTAATGGATGGTAGGGACTGAGGGTCTAGAACAGGCACCGCTGGGGACAGTGAGTTAGTATCAGGCTGTGTGCATGTGAACAACACAACACAGACAGAAGACGGAGTTCTCAGTTCCGGCTCCAGTCACCTGGACTTCCTTCAAAGCTTCACCTTCCCAACCTCTTCCAGTCTGCAAATCCCTTATAGTTACAGAGCACAGATCCCAGAATCACAGGACGATACCACAATGAATGGACTGAGAAGCCAGAGGCGATGGGACGCCAGGACCAGAAACCCCATGCATGCATCGCCCTGCTTACCTACCCCCAAAGCTCCTTCACAGGCTCCAACCCCAGGCCTGAGTTCACTCACCCCTGCCCTTGCTAGTTGTGAACAAATAAAGATGAATAAACACGCAGTTGTTTCCGCCTGGATCTCACTGCTGCCTCGTTATCGCCACACCTTGCCTTTCTCATTCAGGAAACACTTTTCTAGCCAATTTGGTCCACTAGTTCTCTTAGAAGTAGGACACGGGCAAGACTACTCACCTTGGACCCGTAGAGGTAATAAGGCTGGACATTGGCAGGTTTATCTCGTTGAGGTTCTTGGGTGAAAGGAATGGCAGTTCGGACAAAACTAGGAGAAGAAAAGAGATGGGGCAGGAGTTAATTGGGTCCTCATGTTCTTCAGGGGACACAATATGGTGGGAGCCCTTCCTGACCAGGTGGTGGCTGCCTATAAGGGTACTGAATCAAGGTCTCTATCATACTCCCAGTTCAACTACTGCACAGATGGGGAAACTGTGGTCCAGATTCACAGGTAGATTTGGGGCTTGTGGCTGCTCAGGACAGTGGGCTGGGCCCAACCATGGCCTCTTCCAGGGCACCACACCACCTCTCCACCCTGGGGCTGGTTTCTCAAGAGGAGGGTTCTGCAAACTCTGTACATGCCTTGATGGCACTATTTCCAGCTTTGCCTGCCAGCTGGCCTCTTTCACGGAGACCCAGCTCTGCTGGTAGCATGGAGGCACCCGTAAACAGTAGTAGATGAATGAGCATTGGCTGAGTTCCCGTGAATTTTAAATAATTTTCCCTCATCACCAAATTATAATTCTTCTTTGGCTTTTTCCCCACTTAAAAATGTCAAAACCATTCTGAGCTCATGGGCTATACAAAAATAGTCAGGAACTAGATGTGGCTTGTGGGCCAAGAAAGTGACAAGTCTCAAGTCTTCAGAGAACAGGAAGTGCATCTCATGAAGTGCATGGGCTCAGGGCATTGGTGGATTCCTCCCAGGCCTTCCACTCGTTTGTACACACTCAGTGCCGGCTCTGAGGATGCTCAGAGGACCTGTAAACACAGTGTGGCTCCTCTTCATGGACTTATTTTGTATGTGAATACCTCTCCCACCAGGGTTGGAACCTCTGAGGGGATATGGGATGAAGTCTTGCTTCTACCTTGGTGCCTGGCCCAGGGCTGTGTGCACCTTGTAGGAGACGTGTTCCACTTCATCATGTGTGTGTGTGCTCCACACGTGTATGCCTGTCTGCACACACACATTCCCGTATGTGGATGTCCTCACAGAGTACCATCTGATCATGTCACTCCCTGTTCTGAGTTTCCTGAGTGCCCCATACTGATATGGCCTAGGGAGCAGTGTACAGCTGCCGTCCTGCTTCTTCCTGCATCCTGACGTCATCTCTTGGTACTGGTCCCCATCCCACCTGCTCCCCTCTGACCAGCTTCCTGGCTCCTTAGGAACTCTGCCTAGAACCCTCTTCTCCTGTCTTTTTGCTTTATTTATTCCTACTCAGCCTCTGCATTGCAACTCAAGCACGCTTCCTCAGAGGATGAAGCCTCTCTTGAGGTGTGCATCGCTTCCTGCTCTGGTGCAGGTGGTGCTGTTCTCTCCTGGCTCTGTGGGTTTTCTTCCATCTCCACAGTCACTGTTTGTCACAGTACATTTATCATGCGATAAGTCACTCGATCAATCATGCAATTGTTTGATCTAGCCTGAAGGCTCCAAGAGGCCGGAAAATGTCTGCTTGCCTCCAGCACGGAGCCTGCACCCAGAAGGGGCTCTGTGAGATGTCGCTGCAGGAACAAGCTGACACACTTGCTGGGTCTAGTTTGGAGGAAGCAGCTGGCTGCTCCCCAGGCCCCACCACACCCCAGTCCCCTCTGCTCGGGGACTCCCTTACCGGTTGGTGGACCCATTGTAGCAATAGTTGGGGAGGAAGTCGAAGTTCAGCTCCCAGAAGACATGCAGAGTGATGCGGCCGTAGGGGGCAGACACGTTGTGATTGGCCTCCCGGAACATGGCATCGAAGCTGTCCAGGGTCATGTGCTTGCACAGCAGTCGGTGCGTGAGCCGGTTGATCTCCAGCAGCCACTCCAGCTCCTGGCCAGAGAGAGACCCCACAGCCGCTGAGAACTTACATGCCACTTAGCCTTACTGATTCCTGTCACTCAGGTGAGAGTCCCTCATACATCCTCCCAACTGCCAACGTGGGGACCTAGACCCTGGCTGTGGCAAATGACCACGTTCCCTTCTTCTGAGGAGAGGAAGGAACTGCCAGCTGTTGCTGAGGGAGGCTGCATGCCTGTCCCAGGAAGGGCGCCACAAACCGTGTCCAGATCCCCTGTCCACGGCCCTCTGGGCACAAGCATGCCTACTTGCTTTCCAAAGACACTGCCTGGCTAGCTGAGCCCCAGGAGACAGAAGCAGAGTCGATCTTGTATTTCTGCCCTCGTCTACTTCATGGTGCATGATGACTGGAATCTCATTCTTCCAGCTGCCGTTCCAGAATTGAAATCCTGATTTTGACCTTCTTTTGAGAAACGGCAGGATCTGCTCTCACGAAGCCCCATTCTGATACTACGATTTGGTGAACCTTTTTCTGGGCAGGGACACTCACAGACAACCCACCCCAGGACTCCCTCCTGCCCAGCCTGTCTCATTTACCTGTCTGGCCCCCATGGCACTTTAAGTCTGCAAGCTTTGATCCAGTTCTGTACCCCCAGTGTAGAGCCAGAGAATCTGAGTTTCAGAGTGGCAAAGCTCCAAGATTGGAAGCATGGCCTAAAGCCTCCCTGTGACCACACTCTGGCCCCCAACCAAAGTTAGGGGTGCTGGTGGCTGATGAGAATGAAGGTGAGTCCCTGGTGTGGGGCCGCCTCCTGTGACCACAGACAACTGAGCTCCATGTCACCCCCACCCCGTCAGGCTGGCCCCTGCACTCTGGTAGATTGCCCTTCTAATGTGCTCTTGCTTTTATGTTGTAAAACCATCTTTACTTTTCAAAGGGCTTTCTTGGCATGGTTTCTTTACTCTAGACAGCTGGCTGTGCACAGGGGCCAAACACCTGATCTGGAATTCGAAGACCTGGGTTGTCATCCTAAGCCCTGTCATGTACGTCCTGGGTGACCTTGGGCAAGTTACTTAACCGCCGAGACTCCCTTTCGTCCTCTATGAAACATTCAATTCACTTAGAATGGGTAAAAATAATAAAAGGAATAAGCACTAATGAGTTCATTTCTAAGATGAATGAGTTGTCCTGTTCTGGGGAAGATAACTGTACCTAAGGAACCAGGCAACAATTTCTGTCCTAACGTTCTGTGCTTTTGACAGGCTCCCGAATGCGTCAGTGTTGACAAGGGACATTGCAGGAGCGTTCTCAGCTCTGTGACGTGGGGGCGGCTGGAAGCGGAAGTCCCCCGTGCCTGCCACCAGCAGTACAGGGGTGTGTCTCTGTGGTGTAAACCCAGCTGTGCTCCCACCTCAGCAGGGGTGCAGCGGGCAGGGCACCAGGCACAGCGGGTTTAAAGGGCCATGTGCGAGGTCCAGGTACCTCCGAGAGGATATCAGCATTCCAGGGTGAGGTTGGTTTACTGAGGAAATACAACACCTACATGGGCAATTTCTGTGAAATAGTGGAAAGAGCTCTTCAAGGGGAACCAGAAAGCCCGAGCATCAGCCACAGGTGACTGTTAACCGGCTCTGTGGCCCCAGGGAGGTGAGAAGATTGGGGGTCTTGAACTCGGGCACGGTGAGACCCGAGAGGTCTAATACATGAATGTAGTGTCCCAGGGGCTTGTGGGAAACCACAGGCGGTGCAGCCAGGCTGAGTGCAACGTCCAGGCAACTGTTACCATCTGGGGAGGCCGGTCTGGCGCTGCCAGAGCTTCCGTGGTGTGGCTTGAATTCCTCCAAATGTTAAGTGTTGGCTTGAAATTTCAAATGTGCTCTGCAGCCTGAACGCCACAGGCTGCCAGCTCTCAGCCTTAGCCCCTAGTCCTTTAGAGGACCTGTGTGCCTGGCTGGGGACAGGGAGTGGGGCTGACCAGGGGTCTCTGCAGCCCTGCCAGCTCTGCCTCACGCTGATGCCCCTTCTCAAATGGAGTTTCTATGGGGGAGGGAAGGGCTGAGGGGAGCACACGCCTTGGTTTGTTTCTCAGAAGAGGCAGAAGCTTCTCAGCAAAGGTGAGTGGGGGTCTTTTGACCCTAAAGAAGAGAGGGTCCCTGGGGTCTCCTCTTCGAGGGCTTCCTGGGAAGTGTCTACTCTCCTGGGGGCTGTCATCCTCACCTGGCGAACTCAGGCTTTCTCGCGGTGCTTTGGTGCTGTTCTCAGCTCAGAGAACAGTCAGTGCCTTTCAAGGGTGGGGAGAGGCCACCCCCACACACCCCAACCCAGTCTTCGCACAAGCTGTGCTCATTCATTAGTGGAAAACTGCAAGGCGCAGAGAAAAAGAAGATGAAAACAAAATCCCACTGCTCGGAGATAATCACTGCTAACGTTCTGGCATAAACAGAGAAAAGTCTATTTCTTAAAATAGATTTCCCAGAAGAAGGTGTGCGGTATTACAGTCTCTTCAAGTAAGTGACCCAGGGCTTAGCTGGGCGGTGGGGTCAAGTCCTCTTATGAAATGTTGCTGAAAATCCACCCTGAGAACACTTCATTGCAGCTCCAAATTGCGATGTCCCTCTCGCCTGTTTTCTCTTTCCTCATAGGCTATTATTTATTCAGTGTCATGATCTATGCAAAGCTCTTCCCAGACAGTATCTCATTTCACCCTTACAACAACAAAGTGAGGTGAATTCTAATATTTCCTCCATTGCACAGACAGGGGAACAGGCTTAGAGAAGAGAATGAGTTTGCCAAGGTCACCCAGCCAGGGAGTGGCAAGGTCAGGACTGGGCCCGCAGGTCTTCCTGACTCCAGAGCCCTTACTTCTTAATCACTTTTTTTTTATACTACTTTGTCCACTTGAAAAAAAATCCCTTTAATTTTGCAGTAATTTTAGACTCACACAAAATGGAAAACAGCAGAGTTCCTGCACAGCCTTAACCCTGTGTAACCAATGTTAACACCTTACATAACCGTCGTATAATTAGTAGAAGTGGGAAGTTAACATTGGTAAGACACTACTAACTAAATAACAGACCTCATTTCCATTTCACCTGTCCGTCCACCAAGGCCCTTTTCCCTGAATTAATATCAGGTCGCATTTCGTTGTCCTGTCTTCTAGTCTTTTCCAATCTCCAATAGTTGCCAGTCTTCTGCTGTCTTCTATGATCTGGATTCTTTTGAAAGTACTGCTGGCTTTTTTTGTTTTTGGAATGTCATTTGGTTTGGGTTTATGAGCTTTTTCTCATGATCAGATGGAGATTATGCCTTTTGGCAAGAATACCATAGAGAAATACACACCAGGGACACACGACTCTATCGAACTACGACTGGTGATATTAACCTTTGAAAAGCTGGTGTCTGCCAAGTGTCCCCACGGCAAAGTCACTGATCTTCTATTTGGAGGTAACAAATGTCTTGGAGGAGATCATCTGATATGATGCAAGTCTCCTATTTCTTCCCAGAGGTTTCTGGGGAGGCTTTTATCGTGGGAAAATAATACATGATATAAAGTTCCCCATTCCGACCATGCTCGTAGGCACAGGCCTGTGGCAGTCAGCACCTACACGCGTGGCACCACCATCACCACCGCCTGTCTCCAGGACTTCTCCATCATCCTCAACGGGAACTCTGTGCCCATTGAATACTGACTCCCCCTGAGACCGCCGTCCCACTTTCTGTCTCCGCGAATCTGGCTGCTCTAGGAATATCCTAATAGGAGGAATCACATGATATTCTTCTCGAAGTTCTGCCCACGAATTTTAGCATCCATGGCTGGATCTTGCCAGCAGCAATGACCACTGTGGTGATCTAATGGTGACGTTCTAGTTCCCTCATTCCTCCTACTCTTCTGCTTCTGAAAGCATTCCAGTCTTCCTTTGGTCCACTAAAAGACTGATCAATCGAGTTTATCTAATTCTTGGAGAAAGAAAATCACCAGAGAAGTTCAAGTGCTGTTGAATAGGAGAAGAAGATAGGTCCATGCCTGTCCATCAGAACGGACTATATAATTTGCAGGTCCCTTTGCAAAATAAAAATATGGGACCCTTGTTAAAAAATTATTAAGAATTTTTCCCTGGCTGGGTGGCTCAGTTGGTTGGAGCATTGTCCCCTACACCCAAAGGTTGTGAGTTCAATCCCTGGTCAGGGCACATACCAAGGTTGTAGATTCGATTCCCTGTTGGGACACATAGGAGGCAACTGATTGATGTTCCTCTCTGTTCCCCTTCCTCCCTCTCCAAAATCAATAAAACATATCTTCGGGTAAGAATTTAAAAGTTATTGAGAATTTCAAGATGGCGATAGCACAGCATTAAAGCCAGCACAGAGCCCTCTGGGCCCTGGGCCTCGGCTCACCCGCATCCTTCCCTGGCTTCAGCGGACCACCCTCCTACTCACTGGGATCTGCAGGATCCTAAAGGACACATGTGTCCCTGGGTCGGCCCTCCGGAGAGATTTCAAGACCCCTCTCCTCCACGCCCGCTCTCCCGGCAATTGAGGGGGTAAGATTATTCTCATTCGTAAATCTACTCTTCCTGCTCCATCCAGAAAGGAAAGAGACTCACTGCTTTTCCTTAACTGGCCTGGTACGAGGCTCACAACAATGTCCACCAAAAATCCCAGAGATCCCGTCTCTTACCACAATGGAGGTCAGGTCCTCACTCTCAAAGCGGCTAATGGCCTGGTCCAAGGACTTGTACATGGCGGCGGAGATGCGCTGAGTGATGAGTCTGTTCAAGTCAATTGATCTCCCCAAGAGCTGGATGGAAGGCAGAGAGAGAAGAGTGACCTAAGGTGTGCGCAGGCACGTGACAACTAAAGACAGCACACTAACAGAAACTTGGATTATACACATATACTTTATATATTGACTGTGTTTGGGAGAGAGAAAATGCATGTGAGAAGGAGAAAGCAAAGCAGATGTGGTAAGACATTAATAATCATGAATCTGTCTACAGAGCACATGTGTGCTCAGTGGATTATTCTTTCAAGTTTCCTATAGTTTTGAAATGTAAAGTGTTGGGGAGAAATACAATTGGTTCAGACTGTAGGATGGGGCCCAGGAGAGGCTCTGGCATCCCGTGCAAGGCCAGCCTCCTGCAGTTGGCCCCAAGGTTCTCCCTGAGTCAGTCCGCCCTGTGCCCTGGTTCATAGTCACCCAGGAATAGCCGCCTCCTCAGCAAGGACCTACTGCTTGCCTGTGTGGGGATGGATTTAAAAGCAAGGGGATGAGGGGCGGGTTACAGAATGAAAAATGTAGCTTCCACCGGGGAACACATAGGCATTACTGCAGATGCTAGGTAGATAAATGCTAGTAAATATTTATTGACTACCTGCTGTGTGCACTGTACTTTGCTAGGCGCCCAAGGATTTTTTTAACTGTTTCATTTTTTTCTATTTGTCTTCTAGGAGTGAATTTTCTACCACCCGCCAAGGGCCCCCTGAAAGCCCCCTTGTGCACCCATGAAGTCCTCAGTATTGAGTATCCTGTGGCTGATTCTGGCTGCATCAGTAGGCAATGGTCATCGTTTTCCAAGAGGCTGACAGAAAAAGAGTGAGCCCCTGCCGTTGGCAGAGGTGAGGCTGTTCTTTTTCCTCTTACGATTCTCCATTTCGCTGGGATTTCTCACAGCAGTGGGAATGCCCAGGGCTCCAAGGTGACCCCCCCACCCTCACCTACAGCAGCCTCTCAGTGGAGCCTCTGCCCTCCTTTGCCTGTGTCTTTCCCACAAGCACCACAGGCCACGTAATAAGCACCCGGAGGTCATGGCATAAAAGCCATCTCACGCCACTGCTCAGCTGCCAGCAGGTTGCAGGAGGAGGGCACAGTCTGCCAGAGCATCTCTTGCTCGGCCTGCCTGGTTCCGTTAATGCTTTCGATCAAGGATATGTTTCTGAGCTCCTGACAGCATTTTCCCTCCAACTGGGGTCGAACGTTAACAGAAACCAACTCCATCAAAACAAATCATAATTTCTGCCCTGTGTTTAGTGCGACACACTTTGTTTTGAAGGCCCACAGAGCTTGCCTTCCCTTAGCCTGTTCGGGGCTAGATTTCGGAGCAGCAGTCTCAAGCAAGGTTGCAGCTTATGAGGGGAAGACAAAAGCTCCAGAGGCCACTGCTCCTCATAGGGACGGGCTGAGAAGCCTAGATCCCAAACCAGAGGAAGCCCAATGACTTTCTCTTGCTTTTGACTCGGAGCCTGTGTCACAACGGTGCTCAGACACCCACGCAGGGAGACGTGTGGGGCAGATGACAGACAGCCCTGGTTTCCGGTGCCCATGCGCACTGCTCAGTGGCTCTCCCCCACCCCGTGCCACCTCCTCATGGCTGCCTTTCCTCGGTACCTGCACGTGTCTCTGTTTCAGCAGCGTCTCGTAGCGGTTGGACGGTGGGTACGGGATGATGACGCCGTAGTTCTTACACTCGGCCCGGAAGCGTTTATCCAGCAGCACGCTGGAAGGGAGTAAGGGGAGCAAGGTCAGCAAACGTGACCGTGAGCAGGTTTCTGCTGCTCGGCCACGCCCATGTTAGACTGTGGGATCCACCCATGAGGCCCCATCTTACATATTTTAAATATAACTTTTTTCTGTTCGAAAGCAAAATTCTTCAAATTTCTTTTCAACCGCCAGAGCTCAATATGGGAAACAGCCTTTCTAAGGGAAAGACTGGCAACACAGAAGTTCCGCTGCTTTCCCCTTGTATTCATTTACCAAAACATTAGACAATAAAAATAAAAACAAATGACTGCGTGCTTCGCACGTCCCACAGCCTTTCTCAGGACAGAATGTCCCCAACAGGACACATTCTAAGCACTAGGAACACAAAGTGCACGTCCTCGTGAAGCCGTGTTGTGGTGAAGAGAGACTGATACTGTAAACCAGAGCAGGGGAATCAGGTAACCCCACAGAGTGCACACCTGCACAGTGTTCATTATCACCGGGCGCGCACACACAGTCACGCAGTCACTTTCCGTCTCACAACCAGGCTGGTGAGTCACATGCACGGTTACTGTCCTTTACACTGACGCACAGACTACAGAGGAACCAGCGCTCTGGAGAGAATGGGACAGGACCCTCTGGTGTTAGGGGGTCAGGGAAAGGCTCTCTGGAGAGGGCTTCTGGGACAGAGACCTAAATGCTAAAAATGGCAAGATCTGGGGCAGACTCTCTCAGGCACAGGGAGCTGGAGCGAAGGGAAGATGCCAGGGTGGAGACAGGGCAGGGCGGGGCGAGATCCTGGTGTAAAAACGAACGTGTAAAGTCAGCCTCGGGGCCAGATCACAGGGGGCAACACAGGCCACAGTAAAGAGGTTACATGTTTTCTAGACGTAACTGGAAGTCACTAGGAGGAAGCCACCAAGCAGGAAAGTCACATAATCTAAATCTACACTTCAGCATAGGGAGCAGCCGCCCGCCACATGAGCTACGGGGCACCTGAGACATGGTGGGCCCAAGGGCACATGCACTCTAAGGTCAAATACATACTACAGGGTGAAGACTCAGGGGGAGAAAAAAGAGGACTGTCTCTTCAGTAATTTTTCATTGTTCCATGTTGAAATTATAGTACTTCACAGATATTGGGTTACATGATCACATACAATATATTGTTAAAATTAATTTCACCTTTTTTTCCCCTTTTCTAAATATGGCCACTGGAACTTGTAAAAGGACATTTGTGGCTCACACATATAATGTGTGGTGTGTTTCTACTGGGCGGCTCTGATCCGGGCCATTCTCTGCCTGCTGGGCTTTCCGACACCTCCAGCCCCCCTCTGGCTCTGTCACGCAACCTGCCTGCCGGTCTGGCAGCCTGCGAAGGGACCTGCACGTGTTCTAATCCACGCTGATCCCCTCTCAACACTCCTCCCTCAAGGGTAGGCCTGCTATTATTATTTTTCGAACTTTTCAAGTAATGCATACAATATATTAGTTTCAGGTGTGCAACATAGTGATTTGACATTTATATCCCTTAAGAAATGGTCGTCATGGTCAGTCTAATAATTATCTGTCGCTGTGTAAAGTTATTATGATATTATTGACTATATTCCCTATGCTGTGCACTACCTCTCTGTGGCTTATTTATTTTATCACTGGAAGTTTGTACTTCTTACTAAACGTCACCCTTGTCCCCCATCCATCCGCCCCTCCCCCCGGCAACCATTACTTTGCTCTCTGTGTCTATGAATTTGTTTCTGTTTTTTAGTTTATGTGTTTTGTTTCTCGCATCCCACATATAGGTGGCATCATGTGGTGTCTGGCAGCTATGACTATTATTATTATTATTGTTATTATTATTATACTTCTGCCACAGGGACTATGCACAGGTAGTTCCTCTTCCCTACATTTTCCTGTCTCCTCCTTCCCCTAGTTTTACTTGACTCCTATCACCTTCAGAAATGAACTCAAATGTTCCTTTCTCAGGACAGCCTTTCCAGTTCCCTGCCCCAAAGACTGGTTCAGGTTTAACTGTCAAACAGTCCCACATTCTCATGAACTTTTCATTCACGGGGAGCACATACCCTCCCTCGTCACCGTGCACGCATTGGTTTTTAATAATGTCTGTCTTCCCCGGGAGGTCCAGCCCCAAACCTGTTTTCCTCTCCTGTATTCTAGCAGCCAGTCCAGGCCCATCATTCAGACTTCCTCCCATGATAAAGAGGGGAAGTTGTGCAATAGGAAAACCCCAGGCTCTCATACCTGCCAGCCATGGCTTTGTAGTAAGCAAAGATCTGGTCCGCCAGCTTGTAGACAAACTGATCAAAACACAGGTTCACCTGGCGAAGAGGAAGCAGGAATAGTCAGTGGTGCCTGGCCAGCTCTACCACAGAAACGTGGGCAACTCGGAGGGCAGCTGGGGAGGACCGCCGAAAGTGTGTAGTAGGGCAGCAGGCTTTGAAGGAAAAAGGAAAAGAAGATTCTGCGGCCAAGTTAAGTTGGGAAATCTGATCCCTTGCTGTTGAGGAACTGCCCTCCCTGCTGGGCCCCTCCTCCGTGTTACAAGGGGCCAGCCCAGGAGGACACCAACAGGTAGGCAGGTCTTCATATGCCGTTATTACTCCTGTCTGCCTGCCCTGGCCACTTCTCACGATAGACTTTCTTGTCTTTCCCCTTCATTTTAACCTTGCTTTGCAAATAAAGGGGTAGATGATCATTAGACATTTAAAACATTTAAAAATATATATTGCTTAAAAACCTTTGATTTTTAATGGGCAAGGGACTGCCTTGCCATTTCAATGTTTCATGGCATCAGTGCTGCTGGGGTGGGAAGGAAGTGCACACCAGACACAGGATCAAATCCAGTCCCCCAACGTGGTCAGGGCAGGGAATGGCTGGTGGACTTTAAAGAGACGGGGTGGTGGCTGAAGCAGGGTGGCAGTATGACGTCAAAGGAAACCAGTCATGTTTTGATGATTCGTCCTTGACTCTTTTCTTACCAAATTCTCGGCTCTGTGTGGTTAACTCTTTAATTCAATGAGCTCTTGTGCCTTTTGTTTTACACTCCAGATGTTATTCTGAACACAAAAACAGTGGCATGTGTAGTGCTGTCTTCATAGGTGGGTAACCAAGGCCACTGCCCTGGACTTTGAACTTCAAGGGCATTGGGTCTTCTCTGGCAAAGAGCCTGCAGGGGCCAGGTGGCTGTGTCCACTCATACCCCACGACCCTCTTGTAGAACCCGGTTTGAGTGCCCTTGCCCCAAGGGCCCAAGCCCCTCCTAGGCCCTGTGTGCTCCCTTCTCTGGGTTCACCACCAAGGGCAAACTATTCTGCAGTAAGTGCACCCCTAGGGCTGGCCAAGGGCCATTGTTCAGGAGCAGCAGATGAAGCTTGGGGAACCCCACACATATCCGAGAGGCCCTTCATGGTGGGCAATGGGGTCTGGGGATATGGGACAAGAAAGGGTCAGGAAACACTGAGGACAGGCTCGCCCTCCATTTCAACCCCCACGGAAATGGGAAGATGCAGAGAGAAAGCAGGATCTTCAGTACCTTCTCTTCGCAACACACAAACTTTCAAATGCATTTAGTAGTAATGCTTATCCTAAAACAGTCATGTCTTCCCTTTATAAATAAGAAAGCCTTATAGTTGTATGACAATTTTACCTAATTGGCCTCATGCTAGGTTTCTATGACCCCAGGAACTTAGAACAGTGACTATCATTCCAGCTTCTGGAAGACAAAACTTAGCCATCAGTGCCCTTGATCTCCTGTTCCTGCTCCTGACAGGACTGCACTTCCTTGCTCCTCTTTGAAAGGAGGTGCAGCCAGGTGAGTTGCTGTGACCAAAGATGTGTCACTTTCAGGTGGCAGCTTTAGGTATCAGAGTGTGAGATGCACCCTGACCCTCCCCCTACTGAGGGAACTAGTAAATGAACATTCCAGGTGGGTCCCAGATTGAAGACCACATGGAACGGGGCCTCCAGTCAACCTACAATGCAGACATAAACCTTTGGTTTCAAGGTACTAAGAATCTGGGATTGGTTGTTACTTTATCGCAACCCAGCATATCCTGACCATTACAGAAATAAAGCCATTGAGTGACTCTCTAGTAAACAGCTGAATAGCCAAGAGGATGCCGATATTTCAGCCCTATCAGTACCAGACAGAGACTCTGTGACCTTGGCATGTGACACTTGACCCACTTTAAGTCTCTGATTTATTGCCTGCCAAATAGATAGCAGCATATACTTTATTATACTGTGGTCAAGATTATTTAAAATGTTTGTACAGTGCATAGGTTGTACCTAGCAAATGGTAAGTATATAATAATTGATAGGTGTATTACTGTTGTTACTGTTAGCCGAGTAATCAAACCATAAAAGACCCATTAGAAAACTAATTTTACCCATGCGGTTCTACCATTTACCATCCCTTAAACATTTGAAAAGAAGGACCATCATCCTGGTCTAGGTCCTTTGGGGGGGCACTCTCCAGAATAAGTCATTGATCCCCCATGCTGGGGTCCCCCCAAATTCATATGTTGAGATCCTAACCCCCAAAGGTGATGGTAGGGGATGAGGTCACAAGGGTGGAGTCCTCGTGAATGGGATTAGTGCCCTTATCAAAGAGACCCCTGGAGGGGGTCCCTTGTCCCTTCCATCATGGGTGACACAGAAGTCTGTGACCCAGAAGAGCACCCTCACCCAAAAATGCTGGCCCCCCAATCTCAGACTTCCAGCCTCCAGAACAGTGAGAAATAAATATCTGTTGTTTATAAGCTACCCAGTCTGTGATATTTTGTTACACCCCCGAATGGACTAAGACACCCCACTTTGTGCCAACAGCTAAAGATGTGGAAGGTCCGGACTCTCAGAACAAAATTAAAGGAACAAAAGGAGAAGCACGTCACTTGCCTCGGCCTCGATCTCATCATACAGGAACTGCTTTTTGAACTTGGTCAGCGCATAGTAGGCGCTGTCATTGTACAGATCCAATGGGTAGAGGACGTACCTAAAGAGGAGAAAACAATGGCAGCTTACGAATCATCTCTCTTACGGCAGGCGGACGTATATACCTGCTTGGGAAACATGAGAATCCAGATGCAAAGATGAGCAAGTTCAGGGAACAGAAAAGAGAACCTCTCAGCATTCCACGTTTCCAGCCTCTACTTAGGAATAATTTACTTTATGACCTGCCCACAGAAATGAAAAGTCCAGATGCTAATAGATCCAAGGCCTAAAAAAATTGAGCCAGCTTCCTGACCTCCAGAAATGATTGTTTTCCCAGGCTGTTAGGAGACTAAAAGCACCAGAAGGGAAGATGGGCTGGTGGGTTTTGAACCTATCTGCAAGGCTCAGCCAGATCCGGTGTGACCAGATCCTTGGCTGGGCACAGTGCCGCATCTGGAAAGTTCTGGAGACAACATAGCTCGCTGGCGACGAGCCTCCGCCTGCACCCCAGGCACCTCCTGCTGGCCCGGCCCTGCGTCTTACTCCATCATGGAGGGCTCTTTGGTTTCCAGGATGTGGTCCGTCAGGATCCAGGGCATGGACATCTCAATAGGAAACTGGATTCGCCGGCCCATGGTCAACTCCAGGAAGAACTCGCGGAACCAGAGCTGGGAGAGGTCACAGCACTGCTGCAGGGCTTCTGGGAAGCAGGAGGGAGAGAGCCTCGGGTTACCAGGGCAGCAGCAAAGGACCTGCGAGCTTATTGTTTTTATGACTTTTTACTGTTATCCTTATGATGGTGTGAGGTACACGGCTGGTCCTCATGAGTATGACCCCATCAGTAGACCCTGCTGTCTTGAACTTGAATGCCAGGCTAACATCTATTTAGAAGACGGGGTTTGTTACGCCTCAGAGACAGTGACAGAGCCTGGGGAAGGTGTGAGGAAGGAGGTGGTGATGTTTTAGAGCTTTTGGGGCCCCCACAATTTCTCTCACCCCCTTCACAAAGTCATCCTGAAAACACTTGCATTCAAAGTGTCAAGACAGGTCTCCAGGTGTCTGTTTTTAACTGGACTGCAGCTCTGTGACCCCCTGTACGTAGGAATTCTGAACGTGCTGCTCAGAGGCCTTGAAGGCCCCTCCTGGGCTGTGCTCCATGAAGAACTTGGACGATTGGTTAAGATCTCTCTTCAATACTGACAGATGCGCTACCCCTCCCACGACCCCGGGATGCTACTCTCCCTCTATTCTGCCCTGTCGCACCTGCACATGCATCCTGCTAACAGGGGAAGAGTGGGGGACACAGGGTAGGGGTGCAGCCTCCTTTGCATAAGGCAACAAGCAGTCATCGGCTCAGAGCTGCTGCTTAGAAGCGAAACACTGACCTAGTCCCAGGCATGTCTGAGCACACTGCTATTTCTGATCCCCCTCCACTAAGGGCTTCATGACAAATTAGCCACCAGTGTCTACCAGACAGGTATTTCCAGCTAAGTCAGATTAGCTGGCCTGAGCCTGGCCTTTCCTAGGCCCCAGGGTCCATCAGAAAGTGTGTATTTTTTCCTTGGTGGCAAAATGCACCCCCTGGGGTCAGTGATTGAGTCTCTTGGCAACTTTTGGCCTGGCAGCTTAGTGGCTCTGGGACCAGGAAGCACCCCCCTCCCCCCAGACACCGTGGCTCACCGCTGATGTTGAGCAGGTGCGTGAAGAAGAAGGACTGCTTGTGGAAGTCCTCTATGGCGAGGACAATGGGGCCGTCAAGGCTGCTCCTCAGGGTCTTCTTGGAGCCGCTCTTGTCCGCGATGAGCGATTCGAGCATGGTTCGCACCATGTACAGCTTGAAAAGGAAAGACAGGCAGGTCAGGGGCTGTCCCTCCATCAAGGGGGAAAGGCTGCTTTGTGCTGCATTTATGTATATACATATTTTCTTTCTGTAGATGTTTGCCCTTTAAAAGCTTTGTCTTAGGAAGCACCAATTGCAGGAATGGAGAAGCAAATTTGGAACATGTAAACTTTTAAGAGGGAGACTAGCCAGCCCAGGAAGGCAGTTCTGTCTGGGGCCTGCAGCATCCCTGGGCGGGTGGTCCTGGTCCTTCAAGGCCCAGGCTCCTGCTCTGGTAGGCCAAGGGCATGGGCATCAGAGGAGAACCTCATCCCACGCCACCCTGGAGTCACCCCGCAGCTTTCCTGGATAGCACCGTGGCACCTTGGGTGGAGCACGAGACCGACAGTCAAAAGACTAGGGAGTCAAGGCCAGGCACTGCCACTGACTTGCTGTGTGACCTTGGGCAACAAAGTCCCACTCTGGGCCTTAGTTTTCTTATCTGTTAACATGGAGGAGTTGTGCCAGATAATTTCTCAAACCCCTCCCTTTCAGTGCTAACATTCTGAAGAACTGCGAAATGGCGTATGATCTGAACAAGCCCCCCACCACCTCAGGCGTCTGACCCTCGGCAGTTTGAAACCATTCCTGAGGAATTCTGCCCTCTGGTGGCACCAGCTGCATGGCGCAGCCTGCCAAGATCCTGGGCGGAAAAGCGCGGAAGATTGGTACTTACACAGGAGCCTACTAGACAATTAGCTCCCTCTTACAGAGGACCTTAAGAGCAAAGGGTACAAGGGCTAATCTAGATCTCTCCACATCATTTGTCTTTGAATCTTAAGGCTGGAAGGGGCCTCGAGGAGCCAGGCTAGTCCATTCCTGCTGCCTCCTGGAGAGGTGCACCCAAACCAACCCCGCCAGGCGGTGTGATACCAGGGATCGGCAGCCTCTTCGGCCGTGTGTGCCACCAGTGGGGTGAAACAAAGCCCTCGGGGACCACTGGCAGGCCTAAGACATAGGTAGGAGAGAGGAGGAGGGAATGGGAGGGCAGGAGAGACAGGGAAGAGGGAGAGAGAGAAAAGAGAAAGAGAGAGAAAAGCAAGAGGTATTGTATACGGTGGGAAAGCCGTCACGACTGCTAGGGGCCACTCGCCGACCACCTCTGAGATGCTCCAACCTCCCTCTGCCACCGCGTCCGTCCTTGCTGCCTCTGGGCCTCCGCTAGGCTCTCACCCGCCTCGCGCCTGGCACTGGGCGAGGCAGCGTGGCCACAGAAAGGAGTGGTGCGCCATCCGCCCTCCGCAGCCCTGGCAGCGGGCGTATATATCATCCCTAGCAATCGGAAGCACTGTTCTCATGGAAAAGGATTAGTCCCTCCGTGTAGGTATTGGCTGATTTGTATCAAATTCTGTCTGAAAATCCCTTTTGTCCTTAAGAGGGGGAACTCTCTTCCCGCCTACTTGTATTGAACAGAGCCTTGCCCTGGCCAGCACAGCCCCCATCCCAGCGGGGCCAGGGGCCCGCATCTGCCCTGCTCCCAAGGCTGACGCAGAGCCCTGGGGTGGGAGTCAGGAGACCTGGTTCTTGTCCTACCTCAACCTGTCACTCACCTTGTGGCTTGGACAAGTCACTTCCCCTCTCTGGACCTCAGTTTCCCCATCTGTAAAATAGGGGGTGGGGACTGGGACTAGTTTGTCTCTAAGGGCTCTTTTAGGTCTGACTGTCTAGGAGTTTATTAAATGCATCTGTGCCACCTGACATGACTCGGTGGTGCTGGTTGCGGGTGACACTCCCCTCCGTTTGTCTGTAAATAGTCCTCCTCCTCCTCCTCTCTCTCTCTGCCCCCTCTCCTCTCTCTCTGCCTCCAGCACAACCCCTCTCCTTTCCAGTTTCTCTTGTGCCTTGTCTGTCTCTCCCTCACTCATGTCTTAGGACTTAGAGAAATGCCCGAAGCTCTGCTCAGCCCTCACAGGCATTTTGGGCTAGAAAGGTCTCTGGCCCCTAACACTGCACAGAACTGTCTGTAGAAGCTTCCTCAGACATTCCACAACCAGCAGGCAAGATCAGGGCAAACCAGCCCACAGGTGTGAAGCCGGGGGGCATGAAGGATGACAGTGCTGAGAACATACCTCGCCCCGTCCCTCCTCCCCAGACCCCTGCCCAGACACAGACGCACACACAGCGAGAAGGGTCCGGGGTGGCCTTGGGCGGCTCATCTCAGATGGTTCAAGAACTCAGGTACATGGAGAGAGGCTTAAAGGTCAAGCAAAGCAGGAGTCCCAGCCTGGGGCTTCTGGGCCCGTAAGACCTTTAAAGGCAGCAATGGAGCTGCAAGCTTTCCCCTAATACTTCAGAAAGCCCACCAGAAGCTTTTAGCCTTTAAGTAGGTGGCAAAGACTTTACTACTATGCTCAGATTCTTTCATTGTTTCCTGTAATCTTTGGATGAGCCACAGGCAATCTGTTGCTGGTCAGAAGCTCCAGCTGGAAACTTGGAAGAGCTCGGATTATTAGACTTTCTCTAAGGGGTCAAGGGCTTTCAAAACTTGTGCTTTGGGGGGCAAAGAGGGATTAAAAAGGGGATATTTAATCAGTACTATGATCTCCTGCAGTACTATGATCTCCTGCAAAGTTTCCATTTAATGGTGAAGATAATCAGAGCTCAGAGAGGTCAAGGCACTTTCCCAAGATCACACAGCAAGTCAGAGGCAGAACTTGTGAATTCCCAAGCTAGGATGCCACTGCAGGGGAAGGGGCAGGGTTCATTAAAGAGGGCCAGGGTGGATGCATATAGATTCTATTTTAAACTCCTCCTACACTTTGGAACCAGTCTTGGTATTACCCCCATTTGCCAGATTAGACAACTGAGGCACAAAGAGAATATCTAACGTGCCCAAGGTCACACAGGTATCTAGGATGAGAATCCAGGTCTCCTGAATCTTAAACCAGCGGTCCTCCCTCCTGCATCAAAACAAGATGGTAGAATAAGACTAGAGCAGCTGCTTGACCCTGCACCCCCTGCCTGAAGACCCCCAGCCCCTGTGCTCCATGGCCCAGCCAGGATGACCCACCACGGCCTGGCTGGCCTGTGAGTCAGCCGAGCTGGCCTGTGCCCGGAGCCGCTTACCTGTGTGCTGGAGGGGCCCACGGCACGCCGGGGCACCTTGATGTCAAATCCACCTTTGGGATCCTTCTCGCCTCTCAAGCATGGGTCATTGGGGGGCTCTCGGCCCCCCTCCCAGTCACAGATGGTTTTCCGAATCGCCTGCAGGACACTGGGAAGGACGGACGGAGGCTCAGATCAGCTCTAACCATTAGAAAGAGGTAAACCTTGCAAGCCTGCTTCTAGAGTCTGTGGTGTCCCGGGACCGCTTCCCTAGAATTCCTGTCGTGCCTGTAAGAGGGGCTCACCCTGGGCATCCCCTGTAGAGACGCCGGTTTACCCGATCTGAGGTGCAGTCCAGAAGCCTGCATCTTACAAGTGCCCCAGGCGATTCCAAAGCCCACTGGCTGCCTGAGAACCCAGCTCTGAGCCTGTGCAGTGGCAGAGAACTTGAGTGGGCAGGATGGCTGTTTCTGGCGTTGGGCATAGGAGAGTCTCATTAAACTGCCGCACACTTAAAGTTTTAATAACAGCTTACGTTTGCTGCATACTTGCTCCATGCTGCTGTGTGCTCAGGTCGACACACGGATTATCTCATTTTATCATCCCAACAGCCTACGACAGGGGTGTCAAACTCATTTTTACGGGGGCCACATCAGCCTCGCGGTTGCCTTTGAAGGGCTGAATGTAATTTCAACTCCTTAACAGTTAAAAAGTAGTTACATTTATACAGTCCTAAAATTATTTCAGCCCTTTGAAGGCAACTGTGGGGCTGATGTGGCCCCAGTGAGAATGAGTTTGACACCCCTGGCCTACAAGGTAGGTAGGTACCATTATCATCCATGTTTCACAAATGAGGGGCAGAGAGGTTCAGAGAAGGTAAGTGACTAGACTAAGTTCACATAACCAGGCAGTGATGGATATGGGCTTCGAACCTAGAGACTGAGGACCAATCCATCTCAAATGTTCAGTCTCCTAACCAGGCTTCCTGAAACTTGCCAGGAGGGTCCGTGTGTGTTCAGAGGCTGCCCCGGAAGCTGACTGAGCAGGGGGCTTCCTCTGCGGCCTGCACCGCAGCCCTGGTTTTTGATGTGCCCCCTGCAAAGGGCCACAGGGAGACCCACCTGATGAGAACGTTCTTCTTCTTCCGCACCGCCTGCCTCAGGGGCTCGCGCAGTGTCACCTGGGCAAAGTCCTGCAGCGCCGCGTAGATAGTGTTCCTGATGGCCTGGTTGAAGACGCTCTCCATCCTGCCCATGAGCACCTGCAGGCCTTTTATCATGGCGATCACCTGGCCAAGCAGAGATCGAGGTCAGGCTCACGGTACCTTGGCACACCTGTCTGTCCAGTCCTTCACCACGTCATGTGATCACAATTGGTCTCCTGCCTGAAATCACAGCCCTGAGCCTCAGTCCGTTAAAGCATGGCCTGGAGATGAGCTAAGGAACAACTTGGACCCCTTGGATGTGTCCGACCCTTTACAGCTTCCACAGCTCACCCACACCACCATCTCCTCTGACAACTGATGTCTGACCCTCAGCAAGGGCCCTGGGATGGAGTGGGCAGACATGATCAGCTCCCTTTGCAGACAGGAAGCTGAGGCCTGCACAGGTGAAGTGGCCTCGGCCCCAAGGGCTAGTGTCCAGGTCTCCAGCTTCCCGGCTTCAGACAGTCATGAGAGAGGGAACTGTCACTCAAAACTTAGTACGAGTGAATTGTCCTCCTCAAAATAGGAACATCTTTTTGCAATGAAACAAACAAAAAACAAATTAGAGGGTTATAAACCAGGAAGTAAGAATCGCCCCCCCCCCAGAAACTACCACTATTAATGGTTTGGTGTACAAAAATATGAATACTTATGTCCTTCAGTTTTGAACAAATATGCAGAAGTGTATTAATTTTACTACAAATGAAATTATTTTTTACATGCTGTTCTTTAACCTGTTTTTTGGGGGGGGACTTAACCATATACTGTGCGTGTCTTTCCATGTCTGTACATCCATTTCGGTAGCCACATAGTATTGATATATCAATGATATAACTACACCCACATTAGTTTTACCTGGTCCCAGGCTGAAGGGCATTTCAGCTGTCCCCATACTTTGATATTATAAACAACGCTGTGATAAATACCTATGTGCAGATGTCTTTGCCCAGTTGGCTTATTTTTCAGGGATATATTCCTGAAAGACCTTGTGACCCAAAGGGCTTGCACATTAAACGTTTGAGTACATCCCACCAGACTGTCCTCATACAGAGACATGCACACGAGCCGCCCCAAGTCTCTAGGAGGTTCTGTTGCCCACACTTCAACAGGGGTCACGATCTCCTAAGACCTGCCCATCCTGAGTGGTCGACAACACTCCGCCTCATCTCAGTTTTAATCTGCAGTTCTCTCTGAACACCCATCCGTTCGGGTATTTCTCTGCTCTGGCAGCTGTATGTTTGTTTGTTTCTTCTGTTAGTTTTCCTTTGTTCAGGTTTCTAGCGGACACTTTCATTTGGATTTTTAAGAACAAAATGAGAGTCTAATCTTTGGTGAATAACCTGACAGAGATGAATTCAGGCAGAGAAGGGGGACAGGGACAAGCACACACAAGAGGGGACCAAGGCTGCTCAGAACCAGGCCCTCCCACTGCCACGGACCCTGAAAAGCAGCCTCAGGGGCTGCAAGAGATGCTGGGAGGGCACCGCCCACCTCCACGAAGGCGAACTTCTCCTCGCTGGTGTAGTTGTAGCGCGTGGCTCTCTCGTACTCCTCCGCTGTGCCGGGGCAGTCCTTGTTACAGAACTTGTCTGTGGGGTGAACCAGCTTCCAGGAGTACTGCGGGGAGGGGATGACCCAAACATCGTCAGCGGTGGAGTGCAAAGACAAAACGAGGTGTGCCCGTACCACGCGAGGGAATAAAATGCAGATTTGTCCTACAACATGGATGGACCTTGAAAATATGCAAAGTAAGGGGAGCCACAAAAGAGCACACATCATAGTATTATTCTACTTACAGGAAACACGGAGAGTTGGAAAATCTATAGCGACAGAAAGTAGGTTGCTTAGGACTGGGGAGACAGGGAATGCGGTGGGGGCGGGGGGCAGCAGCGACCATATTTTTGAGGTGATGAAAATGTTCTAAAGAGGTGATTGCACAACTCTGTACGTACACTGAAAGCCAATGAATCTACATTTAAAACAGGTGAACGGTATGGTATGTGAATTATATAGCTCAATAAAGCTGCTAAAAAAAAGAGTGCGTGGGGAAAGGCAGAGAGATGCCAAGAGAACAGAGGTCAGGCTGCAGGGGCCGGGGGGACACCCACCACCTCCATGACGTGGGCGCTCCACTTGGACAGCAGCTGCAGGCCCCGCAGGGCCAGGTCGAAGAGCTCGCGGTACTCCTCGTCTGACTTCTGGCTGTCCAGCCCGGAGCCCGTCACCACCTGCGGAACACCCGCTGTCACCCTCATTGCCCACGTGCCCGGCACATTTGCACACTACTTCATTGATCCCCCGAGAATGCTACAAGGAAGAGCGATTATTACATCCCCTTGACAGGTAAACTGAGGCTCGGACAGCGCCTTGCAGAGGGCCGCGTGGCTGGTAAATGAACGGCTGAGGGTTCCAGCGCAGGTGGAGAGATGGCAGCTGCCCTGGCACCTCCCAGAGCAGTGGCTCTCCGACTTTTCTGACTGCGATTGACAACAGGAAACGTGCACCACAGACTCAGGGAGCCCTGCCTAGAGACATTAAACACACGCATGAAACCCTGTCACAAAGCCGCTCTCCCCTTAACACGTGGGGTTTCCTCTGACGTTCCATGCTATTTCACGCAAAAGTCCCCGTCATGTGCCACCAAACTGACTTCACGGCTCATCAATTAGACATGACTGACTGACCGAAGAGCGCTGGCAAGGACAAGCATCTATTTGCACGTGTAGTGTTCCACAATGAAACAAAGCGTGCAAGCATGCATGTGCATAGACGTGTGTGTATATGTGTTTGCACACACACACATAAACATACAGAGACCGTTCTCGTTACTTGTGGATTCCGTGCTTGTGAGTTTGCTGACTCACTAGAATGTACTCACAACCAGTATCTGCAGTGCCTTTGTGGTCACTCAGACACGTGCTCAGTGACACAACATTGCGGGCCCTGTCCTCGGCCGAGGTCGGACCAGGCGAGGCTCTGCCTTCTCGTTCCAGATTCCATACTGTGAACAGGCATCCTTTCCAAGGTCTATTCAGTGCCAAGTATTTCACATTTTTGTCCTTTTTATTACTGATGATTTCACTGTTTTAAACGGCCCCAAGCCTGGTTCTGAAGTTCTGTCTAGAAGACTAAGAAAGAAGTGCCTTTCGGAGAAAATGTGTTCTACATAAGCTTCCTTCGGGCGTAAATTATAGTGCTGATGGCTGTGAGTTCATGTTAATGAGTCAACAACATCTATTACTGCCTGAGGTGTCTTCAAACAGAAAAGCACATAAAATGGGGTTACACGTTGATCAGAAGCTAAAAACGCTGCGACCAGAGACTCACAGGAACCTAACCCTGTGTTTTCCCCGGAGCAACGGTTCAGCATTGGTTCATTCAGTGTTCACCACCACTTGCTAGAACGTTAACTACTGAGAATAATGAGAACTGTCTGCATGTACACATATAAAGCATACAATTTAAAAAAATAACCTTGAGCCAGGCTCATTCTGAGACCACACCGAAGCTTGATAAGGAATAAAGGAGGCCCTGCATCTAAATAATGCCCGTAGTTTTAGCTCAGTGGATGGGCACATATGGCCAAGAAAGCCAAAAGTTTGCTCTGACCTTAGTCTGCATCCACGGGCCTAAAGACCGCACCTTCTGCGTTTGCCTGACCGTCTTCGTTTCAAACATGTGGCCTCTTTGATAGAAGCCGTGTCCGAGTCCAGGTTTGAGAAGCATGTGCACCATGGCTGCCAGCCACATGGTGGAACCAGTGAGCAGGCATGGGACAGACCGCGTGGTTGTCCTGGTGCACCAGGTAGCAAAGGGTTTCAAATCAGGAGACCTGTGCCACTGAACCAACATGTACACTTCTAAGGAGGGTCTGCGGGGAAAGAGGTCCAGGAGGAGATATATACCTGGACATTAATCATCGTTGGTGCTGGCTGGGAGGGTTTTATGTGACAGATGTTCCCTTCTTTTTCGTACTTCTGTTTTTTTCTGAGGTTAAGTGTTTACCCTGTCCCCAGTTTTATTTTCTGGCTTGTTTAATGACCATCCATTATTGTGCCGATTAAAATATTTAGATGGCATTATGAGCACAAGTGTTCAGGACTCGGTTCCTGCTGCAATCTAGGGTGCAGATGGTTGGAACATGTACAGACTAACAACCACTAACAATTACCTTTTGCTCTCTGCTGGGCACCATGCATTTTCCATGCATCATAGTTTAATCCTCTCAAAGAACCGTTCTGGATACTCTTACCCTCATTTTGCGGAGGAGGAAACTGAGAAACAAAGATGTTGGCTAACTTGCGGTGTTCAGCAGCAGAGTCAAAATCAAAGCCAGTCCTGTGTGGCTCTAAAATCCATGCTCTTGGCCATTCTGCCCTCCTCTTGCCTCTGCTGAGTATTCCCTCACTCCTGCTGTCCATCATCCCTGTGGCCGTTCCTTTCCTGCCTGGTCCTTACCCCTTACCCCTGGGGACACACAGGCCTCCATCCCAGCGGCCAGAGCGCGCTCACCTCACTGTTGCTGTAGCGAGCGAGTTCGGAGATGAAGCGGATGTGGTCATCTCGGATCTGAACCATCTGCTCACAAATGTTGTACTGGGGGCTGATGCTGCTCTGGGTACAGGTCCACCTGGGCGGAAAATCACAGGGTCGGACAGGTCCTTGGGTCGGCACATGGTGGAACAGGCTCCTTCCACTTACATGATGCTCCTGGGACCCAGCCAAGGTGGCTGGCTCCCCTGGGGGGAACCAAGAGGTAACCCAGACATGAGAAAAACAGCCCGTTCATTTCACACTGTGGTGCTCACAGGCTGAACGCACCAGCCTTTCCTCTTCCTCCGAGACCCAATCACAGGCTTTTCCAGATACCTGCTATCCACGTACTCACCAATCACACAAGCAAGAAGGGACTGGCAGCCTCTCTAGGGCTACAAAGGGCTGGAGTCCATGCAAAACAGCAAGATGGGTGGCCTCCCAAAACCTGTCTACTGGCACTGAGAGCCCATGGTTGCAGCTGGCTTTGGAGGGGCCTTTGGGGAGGGACTAAGGAAACCAAAGGGGACTGTGCCTCTTCCCAACAGCGACCTGGTAATATGCCAGCAAACCCAGCATGGCGAGCAACGCCATGGCCATTGTCTCTCTGTCTCCTTACCCCCCTCTCCTTCCCCTGCTATTTCTCAACTCTGTTTTTGAACGATATCACTGGGAGAACCACCCTACAGTGGAGAGGAAATGAATGGATGAAAATCTTCACTCTCCTCCCCCAAGAGAAAAAAGCCAGCCCCCGTTTACCCTCGTCTATCGTCCAGTGCTGGGTGGCCCGGTAGACAAATTAAAAGCACAGCCACCGAAGAGAGCAGATAAACGTTTTTGGCAAGAATTTAATATTTCAGAAGGAGCCCTGAAGTGGCCCTCATAAATACTCAGGATGGCGACGCAGTTCCTCATGCTTATACTCCGGCTTTTGTTTAATGTTGGGTCACCAGTGTAGGGTTGGGGACGAGACCATTCAGACCAGACACGCACCCAACGCAGGCCACGTCACTGTGGCTGACCAGCTTTAGGTGGTAGAGAATTCGTGCAGAAAACATGAGGAAATGGGTTCAGCATTCTCAGCTCTGTGCTTTTCCTGGAAAACCTTCCCGCACACTGGCAGCCAGCAGGTTACAAAGAAGCTAACCCGGCTTTCTCTGGGGAGACTCAGTCACAGGGGCTCAAGGATGGTCACCCCTGACCCCCTCTCTGCTTTCCTGTGGACAGGTCAAGATCACTCAGCTTGGGAATGAGATGCCAGCAGGAAAAAAAAAAAATCTAACAACCCCAGTGATAAAGGCTGTGGCTGGACGTCCCCCCACTCCCATCAGGCACCAGCAGCCCAGATTTCAGCCCAAACTCCCCAGGATGGAGGTTCATAAAACGACCTAGGCTGAGGCCAGCGACCTTTCCACTGCTGGAACTGTCCACACCGCACACGCCATGGTATACTTACTGCACAGACACGAAGCCTGAGGAGAGAATCGGGGTGATGTGAAGGGCGTCATCTTGCTGGCGCGACCACCTAGGGCCGGCTGTTCCTCCCCCTTCTCAAGGAAGGACTCCTGCTGTCCCATGGCGGCTGGGACAGAGAAGGGGCGCGGCTGTGCTCTGAGCCCTTTTGAACCCCAGCAGCAAAGGGCGGGCACAAAAGGGCACAGAGCATCTTCCGCTGCTCCCCTCTGGAATCCGCCTGCCCAGGGCTCTGGGGAGGGAGGAGGGGCTGAAGTGGCCCCTCGACCCCCTGCACAGGCTGGGCGTCCTCGCAGGAGCCGAGAGACATTATGGCAGGCACTCACTTGGACTTGTTCTCTTCATAGTGAGCACTGGTCTTAATGTATCTGGCCAGCTCTATCTGCATGTCGCCGAAAAGGGGCACCACCTGCAGCTGCTGCAAAGGAAGCAAACACAGAGCGTGAGACACTGGGTGGGGACTAGGTGGCCACCTTCCCCTGGGGAGGCGGCCTCCGTGGGCCTCTGGGCTGACCCCTAGTTCTTGCTTCCATAGTGCTTCCAGGGGACCCTGGAGTCAAAAGGAGCCCCAGGCAGCATACAGGTCCCCTTGCCTCTGACCAGCCATATGTTCCAGCCACTTAGCCCAGAGGGACTTGTCCAAGGTCACGCAGCAGGCAGGTGAGGGATCAGGACCAGGTGGCCTGCCTCCCAGGGCAGGGTCCTTCCTGTTCTCGTTTCCCTCAGATTAGACGATCCTCCTGCTTGGAACTGTGCACTAGGAGTGGGTGCTGCTGGCTGGTGTGGTGTCCCGAGAAGAAGTGGAAATCACACCACCTGACACCAGAGGGCAGACAAGTCCCATCTGAAGCCCGGGACACACAGTGGGGGGGCCACCATTTACGTTTACAGTCTGCTTCTGACGCACTAGGCACTTGGCCAAGCACTCCAAAATCAGATTTTTAGGTCAGTGAAAGGACTCTGTAGGACACCATAATGGTGGATACACGTCATTCTACATCTGTCAAATAGCATGGACAAGGTCATGAGCGATCCCTAATGTAAACCATGGGTTGGGTGACAATGATGGGTCGATGTAAGTCCATGAATGACAACAAATGCACCACTCCGGTGGGGAACACTGACATGGGGAGTCGAGTCAAGGAGCAAGGGGTGAGGCAGATCTTTATACTTTCTGCTCAACTAAGCTGTGAACCTAAAATTGCCCTAAAAAAAATAAAGTCTTTTAAACAACAATGAAAAATTGTATCTCAACCCATACAAGAACCCCGGGAGGTCAGTACTATTTTCATTCCCATTTCAGAGATGAAGAAGCTGAAGCTCAGATGGCATAGGTGACTTTTTCCCGAAGTCAGACCAGCTAGAAGTCAAGAGGCAGGGGTCTGACCCCGGGCTCTGACTCACCTAGAACAGCCCCCCTGAACCCTCGAGGGGACCCTATGAAGTGGACCCCTTAGCATTCACACGAGGCTGGGGCACTCAGTCTCAGAAGGGTTCTGTGGCTTTCCCAACGTTATCCAGCTAGTAAGTGGCAGGGTCGGACTACAGCCCGGTCTGGCCGAGGTGATACCATCTCCATCCACCCCTCATCATGCTGAGGAAGGCAGGGCAAGACTTTGCAAGGGTCTCCTGACAAGCCCTGTTTTCATTAGGGGCAGCTCCGGAGAAAAGTGGAAGTTCCAGCCTCAAAAAGCAGTCAAGGCACAAAATGTCTATTGGTGGCTTGTTTTCCCTCAGCCTTGAAGCGTTGATGGCTTTCAGGCCCAGCCTGGTGTTCACCACGTCACATCTGCGGGTTCTGCCTTGAATGTTAAGCCTGGCTTTCCCGTGTCTGACCGCTGGGATCCCACCCCATGCCTACAGTGCCCAGCGCTAGAATCAACTGACAACATGGGATTCAGTCCCAAAGTAGGAAATCTCTTGGAGAACATCTCAAAGGCTTAGCTTAATTGCAGTGTTTTGTTTGCAAAGATCTGGGGCAAGAACTGAAATCTCTGGGGCACTGGAACAGACTGAGTGCAGGACGGGTGCTCTGCAGCCTCTGCCCAGAGCCAGGGGCCAGCCATGGTGCTGTGGGTGGGCCAGGTGACAGGCTGTGCTTTTGCAAATACCAATCGGTTTAAAATCCAGTCTAATCCTTCTGCTTCTGTGAGCTGACTTACACTGAAAAAGAAAGCAGGTGCTCTCCTCCGGGATGTACCTTTGTTTATACGGCAGAGGATTTCAGGAAAGAGAAAAAGCAGCATGCACACAGGATCATAATGCCTCCCGGGCAAACCCCAGCCAAATCTTGAGACGTGAGCCTGTTTGACATCCAGGGGGCCCCTTCTAGTATAGATTCCTCTACCAAGGGCAGCCGGAGGCCCTGCCATTCTGTTCTCTTCCTCCTCAGAGCTGCAGCCCAACCAACGAGCCCCACTGCTTGCTGACTAATCCCATTTCTTTCCCCTGAGAGACCATCCCTTGCCCCTGCCCAGCCCCAGGTGCTGACCTTAAAGAATTTATCGATTTTGCTGAGGTTGATTCTCTTCTTGGCATCCAGTTTGTAAATGTTACTGACATTTCCATCCATCAGGTAGAGACCAAAACCCATTACCTGAGCGAGAAGGGGCAGAGCACAGAAGCCAGTCACATCAGATGGAAAAGTTTCAAAAAACTGAAAAAAGTAGGTCTGTGCACCTGTATACGCCACACACACACACACACACACACACACTCAGTCCCTGTGCTACACATTCTATTACAAAACCCACTCGTGCCTGCAAATAAAGAAAGAACACGCAGGTCTAATTTCGACTCGAAATCTGATTTCTGTGAAGAGATGCAGACGACTCCTTAGTATAAAATGTGGTGGCTACGGCTCGAGTCCTAACGATGGGCCCAAGTCCAAGATTAGGGCTTTCACAGGCATCGTCCTCAATTCTCACGACAGCCTTGTGAGTCAGGTTTCACACAGTAACCCTGCTCACAGATGAAGACTCGAAGACACAGAGAGGTCAGACAGCTTGCCAAGGTCACACAGCGAGAAAGCTGCAGAGACAGGATGCGAGCCCGGGCCTGTCCGATGACGCCGCGTGTGCACCCAGGTCCTTCCCGAGAGGCGGCTGCCGCTGCATCCCTGGGGCCCAGCCCATCGCAGGCATGAGAAACACTTGCCAAATGTTGAATGGATGTAAAACTATTTACCTCTTTTTCCCAGGAAACAATAATAATGTAAAGATTCCTGAGGAGCCACTGGAGATTTTATTTTTAAAATAAGAATTTTGAAAAAAATTTTTGCCTGACAATGCTTAATAAGCAGGTTGACAAATTCCTGATATTCCAGCCCAGGTAATAGTTTCCTGAAGGCTGGCTTGATCTTTTAGTCAAACATGCAGGGGAGCTTTCCTTGGCTCACAGTTGCTACGTGACCACAGGCAAGTCACAACTGACACACAGGGAGTGAACTAGGGGACTGTCAAGGTCAAGTCCCCCTTAGTAGTCACACTGTGTGGTTCTGCAGGGTGAGTGCCAGACTTTTCTGTGAAGGGTGAAGGGTGAGTGGTGCAGCCTGATGGCACCTGCGTTCCCTGACAAACTGCAGAAACTAGAAACGGCAAAACAGTGTCGGGGGCCAGGCTGCAGATGCAGGAAATTGAGAAGGGGGAAGGTTAAGAAGCTGTGGTGGGTAAAGATTAAAGACAGGTGAGGGAAAAGGAAGGCCCAAGAATTTGATGGCAGCATCTAAACATGCTTGTGGACTGGAAATTGTTACCCTCGTTTGTGGAAGCAGCAATTCTGGGGAGAGCTATAGTAATTGTCTGGGCGCAGCACCGGGGCTGAGAGAGGCCACGTGACTTTCCCGGATTTCTGACTGTGCAGAGGAAGCCACAGGGAACGAGGCACAAAGCTGCACTGCCCTGCAAACTCCATCCAGGGGCTATAGAAATGTAAAGAAATGGAACACCAGCAGGCCTGAGATGCTTAGAATAGCAAGAGTGACATGGAGGAGAGAAAGAAAAGTATAACCACCAGGAGAGTTTGACGGGTGAGGTTTTGGGGAACAAAGAATCAAAAGGGGCTATGCTGTGTGTATTAAGGGTATGAAGGTTGGCCCTGGCCCAGTAGCTAAGTTACATCAAGGTTGCAAGGTTCGATCCCCAGTCCCAGCATAGAGAATCAACCAATGAATTCATAAATCAGTGGAACAACAAAACTGATGTATTTCCCCCACTGCCTTCCTTTCGCTCTCTAAAAAATCAATTAAAAAAAAGAATAGGGAGGTTGTTCGTTTCAGTGCTGTAGCTGTCGGAGAGAAATGAGACACCTGCGAAGCAGCCAACCTCGGGACAGTGGCTGAGAAAGGAGAGCTTATCCACGTGACGCCGTTTAGCACCTGCACACTATCCCAATACATTTAATGAAAAGGCACAAAACTTACACACACATGACTTACGTATCCTGCACATGCTGAAAATACATAAACATACATAAATAAATGGGAAGGAAATACATTAAATGCTAAAAGGAAAGCATTTGACTTTCCTCTGGATGGGAAGATTGTGAGAGATTAAAACTTTTTGTGTGTGCTTCTCTGTCTGTTTCAGATTTTCTACAATGATAATTATAACTCGATAATTTAAAAATTAAACTTGTAAATTGATGGATCAAATGTGATGATTTTGGCAAAACAGAGCAGATTTGCCTTCCCTCCGAGTCAGTGGTTTTCCCCCCCGGGAAGTCTGACCTGCTGAGGGTGTGCACACAAAGGCTGTGCTGTAAGAGAGTTCAGTGCAGACTGATAGACAGACACCCTGCGAGAGGGGGATTTGTTAAATAACAATGTCCCCACACCATGGACTACTTGGCAGCCACTAAAAATTACACTGCAGAAATATCCTTAGTGATGTCTGGTTTAAAGGGAAAAAAACAGCTTATAAAACATTATCGTAACAGGGTGCAGCCAGGGAGGGGGGTGCGCCCAAATGGGGATTTGTAATGGGGTATAGAGCTCAGGGTGTTCAGGAAATATTAGAAAAATATATGTATTTATAGGATGTCCTCACCCCCACAAGTCTGGGGGATGGGACAAATGAAGCAGGGCCATTGAGAGTTATTTTGCAGATAACCTCTAGAATGGTCATTTAACATATCTATAACCTTTAAATGGTTTCATAGAAATGTTAAATAGCCATAGTCATGCCTTGAGCCAGGGAGATGGGAGTGACTTTAACCCATGATGTAACTAGGAGGCAACTCCCTCTGGGTACAGCATCTGTGTAAAAGGTTGCAGATGATTGGCTCCACACCATGGGGCCACGCCTGCTCAGACTTACTATGGCAGCCCAGTAAAGCTGGTAGAATACGGGAATGCTAGCAGGTGTGACTGATTGTGGGAAGAGCAGGAAATAGGACTGCAGAAGAAGATTGGTGCTGGGATTTAAACCCAGGCACAGCAGCCATAAGGGGCTTTTGGGGACCATGCAGTTTTAGGGTGCTCTCTTTTTGCCACATGGCTTAGGAGCAGGAGAGACTTTGCCTGGAAGAAAAGGGATGAAAGGATTCTCGCTGGTGGGCCATGAGAAGGTGCCACATGGTTTTGGATTAACTGGAGATTGTAGTGGCGACACAGCTGATGGTGCTGGAACCGAAAGGCTGTCTGAAGAACGGACTTCTACTTCTTCTCCTGAGCTACGGTACCCAGGACTGGGCAAAGGGGAGAAGGAAGGACTGTGTGTTTGTGGGTATTCTAAAGGACTTTCGTATTTTTAATGAAGACATTGAGTCATTACTCTAAATCTGTATAACTTTTAAAATAAATAATCCCTTTCCTTTTCACCAACCTCTGACATTGAGAGAAATCTTTCCCTGGTGGTGGGCAAGGCAAACCTAGTACAGGGGGTGGGAGGGGACCCCTGGAGCACAAGGGTGGGTCCATTCGGTAATAGTATATCATTCACCAACCACCCCCAGGTCTGTTCTGTAACATTATGTGCAGTAAGATCTATGTCAATGTTTAATAAGAAAAAATAAATAGCATTTTTTTTTAAAGTGATTTTCGGCAAGGAGGTGAGAGCACAATTCTGGGCCCCGGGGTGCAGACCACAGGGGTCGTACCTTGAGGAGCATGTGCTTCTCGCTGGGGGTCAGGTACATCTTGTTCTCATAGTAGTCCACGCAGATGTTGACAATGTCCGCCAGCAGCTCCTCGTAGCCTGGGATCACTTCCAGTTGCTGATGGAGACACTACACAGCAGCGCACCCCTCTGGTTAGCCCCTCCCCTGTCCCCTCCTCACCCATCCCACTGCAGAATTGACAGTGTGTGCTCCGGCACCCGCCCCTCACCCCGCCCACAGCTGACCACCAGGGGAAGGGGCCTGTATCCTCTCCACGTCCCTCAGTGGCTGGTTGGAGCTCCTGCACATCTCTCATGGCAGCGAACTGGCTCCCCTAGGGGCCCTCCATTTTATTTCCTCGCAGTTTTGATGGTTGGAAAGGACTTTCTTGGGCTGAACCGAAAAGCAGTTCAGCGTTACAATAAAGGCTTGTAGTCATCTCTTTAGTTTTGGGCCTGTGGGCTTTGCCATGACATCTCTTCAGATGATGGGGGGTGACCCAGCCTGGCGGAGGAGAGAGGGCCTCCGGGTCCCGCTCCTGGCAGGACACAGGGGCACAGAAACACGTCTCCTGAGAGAAGGGCCCCCGCAACAAGGGGCTGCGTCTCCCAGAAAGAAGCCCAGAGCCTCCAAGCTGACGGCCTTTTGCCTTTAACACAGAGTAGGGGGCCCAGTGAAGGCGGAGGGAGGCATTCAGCCTGGGTCCTGCTGACATTCTTGCTGCTGCCTGTTTAGGCTGAACTGACAGACGAGCAAGACAGATTATGTCAAGCCAGACAGAGCGTGAGAGCCACGGCCAGGTGGGCGTGTCCCGGCCTAGCAGCAGCGGTGATAACAGCTACAGCGTCTCGTGCCCTTTGTCAGGCTCTGCCTGGGGTAGGGGGCGGTGCAGGCTTTTTATGTAGTATCTCACTTACTTCTCACAATGTTCTCATAATGTGCTAAAAGAAAAAAGCTCCACTGGACACACAACAAAATGAGGCGTAGGCCTTGCCCAAGGTCTCATAATGGGTCAGTGATAGGTCTCAGGGCTTGGAAACAGGCTGTTCACTCCAGAACTTGTGTTCTCAGCCTCCACTGATTGGGGGGCAGGACAATGGCTGAGAAGGTTTTTGGGGAACAAAATCTGAGGTGAAGGTGTTGGCCAGTGGTTGGGAGGGGAGATTTAGGTCTGCAGGGAAATTCCTGAGCCGGGCAGTGGGGTGTGAGATCTGCACTGGGACCCTCTGCACAGGGTCCACCCAGCCTCTGGGCCCCGCCTGTGTCCTGGGCGCCAGGACACACAGGGAACGCGCCCTCACCTGGGTGATCCTGTTGTGGTTGGCCAGGAACATGGACAGGTTCTGCGACTCCTGGATAGACTGGGGGTCCGCCATCTTCCTCAGGAACTGGGCAGCCCTAGAACACGGGTGTCGCAGAGAGGAATGCTCAAGTGCCACTGCCTGAGCAGGTCACCCAGGCTCCACTCCCACCTCCACTCCCACCTGACCCGGAGTCATGCTGCCCCAGGGTTAATGAGCCCTGACATCACAGGTGGCTAATGTCAACACGGAGTGTGTTCTGGAGTCATTTCATTTGGAGCTGTTTACACTCTTGTGATAGGGCATCTGAAATTCAGAGGCAAGAATGCCCTGAAGGTCAAACTCCAAGTTTAAGGGTGGCTAGCATCCCATCCACCAGCTGGAGGTGGTTAAGATGGAGCGAAATAAGCATCCCCGGGTCTGGAGGTGACCTCCATGAAACGGCCAGTCAGTCATGGTGCAGAACCACATGCGGGAGGGGCTGTTTTTGTTGTGCATTCTGTTCTTTACTTGGAAAACCTCGCTGTTTCTAAAGCAAAGCATTACACAGAAAACTGAAGTCTATTTACCCCATCAGGATTACAGGTGAGGGGACGGTGGGCGTGGGGAGCACACGCAGGACTTGAAGGGAGAAGGCTGCGGCGGCCCGGACTCTCCCAACCTAACCCAGTGGTGGTCCCACCTGACAGCCCCAACTCAGATGGGACACCTGCCCCACTCATGACTCCAGGTGGCCCGCAGAGCATGTCAGTTGTAACCACGATAGAAGGAGTTGGGGAGATACTACCCTATGAGCTGTCTATGAACCTTTGTGAAAGGTGCCATTTCTGAGTCAGGCTGGAGATGGGTAGTATCTGCCTGCAGGTACCCCCAGGTTTCACAGTGTACTCAGGAGGGTGACGCACTGAGAATCAGTCTGCTGTCTGTTCTCTACAGTTACCTGGGAGTCCCAGGACGATGCAGTTCAGGAGGAAGGGCCCTTGTGTCAGGGACACAGAAAATTCCTCCCAAGAAGTATGTCTAGACAACATAGAGGAAATCTGTTGTTTTTGACTCCCCACCCCACTTTTGGGTGGTTGTCCCTTAATTTCTACAGAGGAACTACCCCTTTCCTACTCTTGATCCTTCTCTCATGTGAGCTGACACTGACCCCGAGTGACACCATGGGTGGGCGGGCGAGCACCTGTCTAATCAGAGCCCCCTCCCACCACAGTGATGGATGAAGGACCTAGCACAGGACCAAGCTGGAACAATGACAACCCTCCCAAGGACTTTTGCAAAAGTATTTGCAAGGAGGAGCAGCCTTTCCTTCCTGTGACGCTGCGGTGGCTACGCTAGCCCAAAAGAGGCCACCCCAGGGCCAAGCCTGCCTCAGAATGAGCCCATGTGCAGGACAGGGGAGTTGAGAGGTAGAGGGAACTAGACCAACATCCTCTAAGTACCCGGATCCAGGTACACGGGGGCTTCCCAGTTCTGGGAGCCAATCCATCCCTTCTTTCACAGAAGCAGCTTGAACTGGCTGTCTGATGTTGGCAGGAATGACTGCTGTGCTCATTTTATGACGATCTGATGATGCTGTACTACAGGGGACAAGAGAGGATGCTGCTGCCCCACAGGCGGGGAATGAGGATCTGATTCCATCTAGAGACAGAAACCCGGCAAAGACCCAGTTCTCCCAGGAGGCAGCCCTGCACCTCATTCCTCACACCACAGAACCAGGTCCTGTATGCTTGGGGAGTGGCTCTTTTGGTTCTGGAGAAGGAGCCTGTTAGTTGGGCTCCATCCTCTTCCTCCCCTTGGCCAGCTACCCAGGAAGTGGGCGGAGCAGGGACTGACCTCTTATAGGCAGAGTGGTCGTTCTTGACGCTGCACTTCATATTCTTTAGCTCGTCCAGGACGGCGAACATGTTGATGAACTTGCCCAGGGTCAGGAGGTAGGCTTCGGAGACAAAGTCCTTCCTCCGTTCGGCATGACACAGCCGCTTCACCTCGCTACAGAAGCGCTCGATGGCCTTGCGCTGCAGGAGCAAGGGGGGTGCGCATAAGGATGGGGCAGTGGGTGCTCTTAGGTGAGGAGCAGGATGGAGGCTCCCTGGGGCCCTAGTCAGAGCCTAGACATTTAGAGAAAGGCAAATCCACCAGGAGGTCTTCCTCAGAGGAAAAATCCAAAGCTGATTTTTCAAGGGAAGCCTGGGACCTCCCTCCACAACCCCCCAGTGAGTTGAACCAATGCATTCATTAGTCACACCTTTGCAGAGAAACATCATGCGTTACTTGGTTTTGTATTCTAGCACCTAGGACAGTGTCAGGAGCCAGTATGGCAGTAGAGACCAAGAGTGAGACATTCAGATAAGGGGTTCATTCACCCAATAAACAGTATTTATTGAGGATCTGCTATGTACCAGGTACCATTCTAGGCATTGCAGTAAAGAAGGGAACAAAACTAGGAGAAAAAAAACTCTATCCTAACAGGTTTATATTTTAGTGAGGAAGACAGAAAACAAACATTACACACTACTTCTGCACATTACAATGTGATGTATCTATGGAGAAAAATAAAGCAGAGAGAGGGGGCAGGGCGGGCAGTTGCCTAGAGCTGGAACAGACGGGGGTGTAATGGGTGATAGTGAAAGGGTGTGCAGTTTCTTTCTGGGGTGATGCAGGTGGCATAAATTGACCCTGGTGATGGACACACAGCTCTGTGGATGTACCAAACACCGCTGAATTGTCTACATGGGTGAATTACATGGTCTGTGAATTACAGCTCAGTAAATCTGTTATCCAAGAAAGCTACTGAGCAAGTCACAAAGAACTAGGCTAAAGCAGTAATCCAGAGAGGGAGGCGGAAGGAGAGCAGGAGAGAGAAATTACTCCTTTGAGGTGCGATCCACTCCTCAGGGTGGGTCACCCCACTGGCCAGGAACTCCTCTCCTGCCAAGACCAGACCAGGCCGTGCTTTCTCCTTCCAGAGTCCAAGTCCAAGAACACTCTCTGTGATGATGGAAACGTCCTGAGTCTACAAAGCCTAACGTGAGAAACATTCATCACATGTGGCTACAGAACACTCAACGGCTAGGGCAACGAGGGAACTGAGTTTTAAATTTTATCAGATTTTAATGAATGTAAACAGCCGCATGGGGGCAATGGCTGCTGCCTCCACGGTGCAGTTCTGCATGATCCCAAATCCCCCTTTCTCTTGCCAGGAGGCCTTCAGCTTAGCTCTTAATTGGTTTCTGGAGAGTTTTTCTCTCTTGGATCTGCCTCCCTAAAGAGATTTTAGGCTGCTTGAAGGCAGATCATGATGCTAACAACGGCAGCTTCGATGTGTTAAGCCTACCCTGTAGCCAGGGCTCTACCTAGCTCTTCACAAAGAAATTTTTTTCATCCTCACCACGAACCATGGTGAAGTATTATTTCCAAGGGGAGAAAACGGAAGGCGTCAGAGGTGCTAAAGGACACACAGGCACCCAGTCACGGTGTGGTGGGACTTGGGCCTCTGCCTCCAAAGCCGGCATTCCTGCCTGGGCTGCAGGCCCCTCACCTTCCCAAACACCCCACCTCCCGCCCCCAGGAGGCCAGTGCAGAGCTGGGCAGACATTCCGACCAGTGCCCCGGAGTCTGTTTGTGAAGCTCAGCTCTCCGTGGAGCCAGGCAGGGCACGGTGTGTAACATGACTCCTGCTCTGCGGTGCCGGCTGGTCTTAGAGGGCTCAACCTGCATTCCTGAGCAGCTTCCAACACATGTGTGATAACCAACCAGTTCGCGTTATTTTTCCTTTGCTACTTTCGTTTAACCAGCTCGTCCTTTATTTTTTTTTAACTAGCTTGCCCTCTTGAAAGCCCTTGGCTGTCTTTCCTCTTTCCCTCCTTTCAATAGTCACTCCTCCTGGCTTCCCAGCTGGTCTCCCTGCTGTCACCTGTGTCCCTCTCGCCCCTCACATCTGTACGGCCCCCACCTCCCATCCCTTTCCCACTCGGCAGCCAGATGTTGCAAAACCTCAAACCAGATCCCGTCACTCGGAAACCTCCAGCGGCTTCTGTGGTGCTTGACTAGAATCCACGTATTCTTTCCACGTCCTACTTCATATGCCCTTTCTGATCGGGGCCCTGGCTACCTCTGCAGCCCCACCTTTTACCACCCCCCCTTCTCACCCTGCCGCCTCCCTGGCTTCCGTTTCTGAAACCTGTTAGGCTCCGTCAGGCCTCTGGGCCTTCCTTGGCTTTACAGTTCCTCCCACCTGAAACCCTCTTCCTGGGACCACCACTCGGCAGCCTTGCTCATCAGGCCGACCCCAGTTCAAATGCCATCTCCTGAGAGGTTGTCCCTAGAGCTGCACCAGGTCACAGACACCCTCTGGCCCAGAGATTTTTAAACTGTTATTTGATTCACAGCACATATTATGCCCTGAAAATGATTGTGTACTGTTTGTTGTCAGTCTCTCCTCCTGCCCAGAGCACACCTGTATGCTCAGAGGATGGAAATGATGTGCAGGGGGAGGGGCTTGTCCATTTTGTTCGTGCCCCCCACCCAGGGCACTCAACAAGTATTTGCCAAATGAATAAGCAACATGGCACACAAACCCAGACCCATGCGTCTACAAGAGTGGGGGACTTCCCAAGTGTCCCGGTTCCAGATTCACCCAACTCCTCACCTGAAAGTACATGAACTTCATGAGCTTGGTGACCTCTGGCTCCAGCACCTCCACGGTCTTCTCATAGATCTCCACTCGGTTGGGCTGCTCGTTGCACTTGACCTGTGGGGAGAGCGGGCTTCAGGCGCCCTGACTGGTGCACGCAGTCCTGCTTCGCGCCCATTATCTCGTTAAAGGGCCCCTTTCACTCTCAACTTGGATGATAAATGGCAAGGTCACCCTCATGACAGGAGGCTGGGGCAGCCCTGTCTGATGGGTCTGACTGGGGGAAAATGCCCCCCCCCCAGTCACCGGCTGCAGGAAAGAACCCAGCTGATCCCAAGAAGAGAACCCTCCACCCCTTCAACCGGCTCTGCACCATGCCCAGGAGCCATACACTCGTCTATGTTTATCTGTAAGGTCCCCCTCCTACAGCAGTTTCCCAGCTCTGACCCCTGCAGGGCCCCGCCAGATTCTCAGCGGAGAAAAATGTTCCGTCCACTGCTCTGGAGGCACCTGGCCACACTCGGCCCCACCAGGAAACCCACGGTCTCTGCCCAGGGGTTTCAGCACAGCAGTCACGTGGCAGATGTTTTCACAGCATGCACACCAGAGACGGCTAACAGGGTGACCGAAACTGTGACCCTGTGACAGCGAGAAACTGTCACCCGTGACGAGGAGCGTGCAGAGGATAAGGACAAGGTCGTTCTTCACACTGCCGTTCAGAAATTCTTAAAATAGGAGCAAGAAGCTCAATATCCATGAGTCGATGACTGAGTGGGTAAAATATGAGACACTCATTCAGGATCATTATGGAAGTGTCACAAGGAATGAGACGGCCCCACGTCCACTAACACGCAGAGATGGCTGCCGTAAATTGACCAGTGAAAACTGTGACAGGACAGGACGTGTAACTCAATCCCGTTTTTGTTAAACAAAACTGTGTGCTTCTGTGTCCACACATATCACAGACACAGAAAGTCGAAAACGGTGCAAAGCGAACCTTGGATGTGCAGCTAGCCCGGGGGGCCAGGAGCAGAGGAGGGGGAGCAGCCCCCCTTTACACATCCGCGCCTCGTTGATTTTGTTAAACTGTGACTGGTGAATTGTATGACAGTTACCAGTATAATGATGGTAACATATGATCTGCATGTGCCAATATACATACAGACAGGATGTTAATGAATGTCAACAATAAAGAATAAAGGGTAAAAAATCAAATGGCAGAACAAGATCAAAAGCAACATGCTTTTGTCAAATTTACAAAATAATTATTACAGAAATATTCGTAATAATCAACAAAAAAGACCCAGACCGGCAGCAGCAGGGTGCCCACAATGACCACGCTCTGTTGGGAGGTGGGTGTGGGTGGCAGCCAGGGGGCAGGGTGGGGATGTCTTGCTTCTTACTTTACACCTTTCTGCAGTGGTTTGGGTGACATGCAGCTAGCATTTACTGCTTTCCAAATAAAACAGATGGGACAAAAACTGTTTTAGGTTGGCATCAGTTTTATGGGAAACTCTCCAAATGTCTTCTGTGAGCCGCCCCCCAACCCCCTACATTGCTCCCTGCCACCTGGAGTTTTGAATGGAGGGATTGTGAAGGGTGGTGGCGCCCCCTGGAGGCCGGAGAGCCACCAGGTCAGGAGAGTCTCACCTGGGGGATGGCCCGGGAACAGCTGCGCCAAGTGTACAGCATGACGGCATACTCGTGCCCTTCCTCCAGCATTTCATTCTGAAAAGCAAAACATGCTCATCAGGGAAGAGACTGTGCTGGGGCCACAAGCTTCTCCAGGGCCCCTGAGTCCTCACTACTCAGGTGGTCTGTGGACCAGCAGTGCGTCACTGTCCCCTGGGGGGCTTACTAGAAAGGCAGAACCTCAGGCCACTACCTGGGCTTAGGGGCTCAGAATCTACATTCAGTAACATTCCCAGGTGACTTGCCCTCCAAGGTGTGCAATGAGTTTTTGAGAAACACTGGTCTAAACTATTCTCCTCAAACACCAACGGGTCTGTGAGGAGGCCACATTTTTCATAGATGGATGGCCACCTTATAAACAAAGAAGCAGATCTATTTGTTCCAAGAGCAAAAGTTGTCCCAGATATACTGTTAGCAAGAAAATAGACAAGTCGCAAAACAGTATGTACAGCAGTTAGGCTAAAAAAGCCAAACAATGAGTAATAATTATAAAAATATATTATTGGACATTGAAAGACATTTTGGTGGAATATGCACCAGGCTACGACTAGCAAGCTCTCCGTGCAGCTGGATAAACAGGAGCATTCACTTTCCCTATCATATAGCACCATGATGTTTCCACTTTCTGTGGGAGCTTATGTTGCTCTTTCCTAAGTAAGAAAATGATTTAAGTCAATTTTTAAAAATAATACAGAGCAGATAGCAAAACCCACAACACCATCAAAAGTAAATTGGGAAAAAAATGCAGTGATGCTAATGCATTTTTCACCTGGTAAATGATGCTGTGGAAAGAGCCCTGAGTCCTGGCTGGTGTGGCTCAGTACATTGAGCGCTGGCCTGTGAACCAAAGGGTCACCGGTTCAATTCCCAGTCAGGGCACATGCCTGGGTTGTAGGCCAGGTCCCCAGTAGGCGGTGCATGAGACACAACCACACACTGATGTTTCTTTCCTTCCCTTTCTCCCACCCTTCCCCTCTGTCTAAAAATAAATAAATAAAAGTCTTTTAAAAAACAAAAAGAAAGAGCCCTGAGCTCAGAGTTCAAATATCTGGGCTCGAATCTCAGCTTCATCGTTCTTTGGCCTTTCATCCTTCAGGAAACCTCTGAACCTAAGATTCTCCTTTTAGTGACAATGACAATAACCACCTCAGAGAATTTTATGAGAATTAAATGGAATACAAACACACACAGGCTGCATAATCTGTCAAAGTGGTGCAGAGTAGTACTAGGAAAAAATAGCCTGGCAGTTTCTCAAGACAATAAACACACAGTTTCCAGATGGCCCCTCCATGACGGGGCTCAGTTGTGTCCCCCCCCGAAACTCCTATGTTGAAGTCCGAACCCCGGGACCTCAGAATGGGACTATATCCGGTGGCAGGGCCTTTAAACAGAGAGGTGATTAAGGTAAAATGGCCCTTGGGGACGACCCCAGTCCAGTCTGACTGGTGTCCTTTTAAGAAGAGGGAATTTGGACACAGAGAGATACCATATGTGCACGCCCACGGAGGAAAGACCACGTGAGGGCACAGTGAAAAGGTGGCCATCTGTGAGCCAAGGAGAGCAGCCTCCAGAGAAACTTGCTGACACCTTGGTAATGAACTTCTAGTCCGCAGCACTGTGAGAAAACAGGTTGCTGTCATTGAAGCCAGTGGCTGCTCTGTCAAACGAATACTCCCTCTATGCACGGACCCTTATCTAATTTTCCATAAGCACCACAGTGAATCTCCTTATACATATCTTACATTCCAAACCCAGGCAGTCTTTGAAGTGTTATGCCTTTCTGCCTTTGCTCATGCTGGTTCCACCAGCTGGGACCACAGAGTTCAGCGGAGAGAGGTCAGGACTGGGGAGCAAAGTCCTGGATTCCAGCTGCAACCCTGTGACTTCCTAGTTGTGGGATCATGAGCAACTTCTCTAGGTCTCAGTTTTCTTATCCCCAAAATAGGGGTAATGATCTCTTTGCAAGTCTCAGGGCTGTTACAAGGCTCCAGTGATAGTTCGGGTGAGCACACCTTATACATTTTAAAGGACCATGTATATCTATGGTTATAATGTAATGTGTGTATATTCACATATGTTATATATACGTACAATACAAGTCACTTCCTTCATCGAGCTTTCTCCGACACTCTCAAGGCCCCTCCCAAAACAAAGCACTTTGTGCTTTCACTGTGTCGTTCGCCTTTAATTTTGTGCATTTTTGTTTGCAAAGAGTAGCCCAGAGCCCAGGTTTTACAGTCACACAGACCTGGGTTTAGCCATCACTTGTCAGCAGCCGACTCCATGTAACTTAATTTTTCTGGACTTGGGTTTTCACCATCCATAAAATGGGTATTGTAATAGAACCTACCTCACAGGGTTGAGGTGGGACAAAAAAGAGCATTTAAAGTATCTGCACAGAAAGTGTTTGATAAATGGTAAGCCTGTCGATTTCCCACTTGCCTCACGGAGAATCCAGGCAGGCCCCTATCTCTCCTTGCACCTCCCTCCCCCCTGGCATTCAGCACAGATTCTGCAGGGTATGTGCATTTATTTATTCAGTGATCGGGCAGGGTCTGGTAAGACCAGGTTAGAATGTAGCTGAGACAGTGCGAAAGGTCCAGAGAGCCGCAGGCGCAGGCTCTGAACGAGGAGCCTGGAATTCCTCCGGGTTCAATGCTGCATGAGAATACAACCATGGAAGCCCACGAGGGAAGGGGTGACCCCTCACAGATGGGTCAGACAACCCATCTGACCCGTGAGACAGCTGGCCCCGCTTGTGAACGATTTAGGTCACCAGCTTCCTCGAACTGACAATGAATGTCATTCCAAAGCCACCTTTTGTTTTGCTTAAGACAAAATTCCACACAGCCTGTAATCTATAAAGTATGAAACAAGGCAGTGTCTAATCCCATGTTAACCTGAAAGGGAAGCGAATGGTGAGGATAAAGTTGAGCCCTAACGGTGAGTAGGTTTTGCAAAGCTGGAAGATATGGGGGACAGCATGACCCTAGACACTGAGAGGGGGTGGGGCAGGTGGGAGAATGGGCCCCGGAGCTGGGTCTGACTGAGGCCGGGGGTCCTCAGCATAGCTGGGCACATGCCCCCGGTTTGACAAGCTGCCCGCAGCCCCACCCTCCCTAGCAGGTTACCGAGGCTTACCATGCTGGAGTGGACCGTGGCCTGCTCGATGTACCTTGCAATGCCTGTGACGAAGGCATTCCTGTCCTCGAAGTTTGTGTCAAAGTTAGCCTGTGGGGATTGGAGGACGGGAACATTTGGTTATTGAAAAACAGGCCCAAGGTGGCTGGGTGCCCAGGGAACAAACTGCTGCCAACACATGCCACCAGTTCTCCATGGAAAGCTATGTCCCCCATCAGCCTTCCCCCCCAAAACCCACTCTGAACCCCACGGTGCAGGAGCTGCCTCCAGACAGGGCCCACATCTGCGTCCCACCGGTCCGCCCGGTGGGGCCCCGGAGTGAGTGCTTGCTTACGCTTTCCACACCTAAAAGCTGTTGAAAGTTAGACGTGCACAGCTTTCACCCAGCAGGTGCGAAAATACTCACCCCAGGGTGCGCACGTACATGTGTACAAGGGGCACAACTGCAGCATTTTTGGGATAGGAAAAGCTGGAAATCACCCCAATGTCCACTAACAGTGAAAGGCTAAATAGACAATAGGACACCCACACAATGGACTTGGATGTACTACATGGTGGTTAAATGCAATGTGGTAGCACTGTAGTGTTGTCAGAGAAAGCATCTATAATAAATTTTAAGTTAAAAATGCCAAATCACAGAGTAATATATATGTAATATGATGCCCTTGTTATATTAAAATGTATACATTTATATGGTAAAAAGGGACGTGTGGGGATCTATATACACACATATATATAGACATAGTTACAGAAATTTTTATTATACTTTTCTGTACTACTTGTAATAAACAAGATATTTATATAATTAAAATTTAATCTGGGTTAAAAAATGTGAATACACCAAGTTAATGAGTTGAGCCTTCAGGCATGTGTTTCATAAATCTAATCATGAATGAAATGTAAAATATATTATGCATTTATGTTGAGTCTGAATTAGCAGCCCAAGAACTTTCAAACGGTCAAGTAGAGCTCAGAATTTCAGATGAACTTATTCTTTCCAAATGTGGCATGTTCATCCTGCAGACCGGACCAGGGGCTATTTGCAAGGCAGAATTCGGCCTCACGATGCCCTGCCCCCTGTGCCCTGGCAATCGTGGCTTTGACCCATCCGATCATGGTTTAGCACAAGCTCACCCATCTTAGGCAAAAGCAAACAACAGTGACGGGCTTCCCTGGGCCATTAGCTGCTGCGGGGAGTTGAAGAGCTCTTCTCACATACATGAAGGAAAAGTAATTACCCAGGCAGTCTCTAGGGGGTTCTAAATTACAATATTTAATTCATGAGATCAGAGCTGCTAGAGTCTTGGTTGGTGCTGCAGCAAGAACAGCCGGGAAGGTATTTGGGGTCAGAGCAGAGCAACAAGCCTCCCCTGGGAGCGAGGAACAGCTCTGGGGCACATTTACTAGCTAATCTATTCCTTACACTCAGCTCGGGGCACCAGGGACTCCATCAGCTCACGACCTTTCACCTCTGAGATGCATTCCTGCCCCTTCCTTCTGCCTTCAAAGCGAACCCTCATGGGGGATCCCCAGAGCTCCTGAGCCCCCACAGCCCTGGGAGAGTTGACCTGGTACATGATGGAGGAAGGTGGAGGCTCGATGCATGGCTGCTGGTCAGGGAGGGGCAGCTCTTCCAGCAGGTCCACGTTGGACAGGGCATCTTCCAGAGTCACGTGGGTTGTCATGGTTGCGGTTTCTGTGTTCCTCACTGAGGGAAAGGAGGAGAAGCACCATGAAGAATTTCAGGGTCCTCCAAGAACACTTCTCTCAATCCCACCTGCCCAGGCTCCTCTTGGAGAATAAAGGGAGTTAACGTGCATGGAGACCACACTCGCTCTTTCTTCATTAGGTGGCCCCCATCTGCAGCAGATACTGGAGGATCCCTTCATCATTCACAAAGGACTTTTATGTGTAATACCTCGTCTGAGCCGCACCACAGCGCTCTGTGATCAGCACGGTAGGTGGTATCATATCCACATAGCTGATGAAGGAACAAGGCTCAGGGAGGTTATATGACACCCACACAGCCAGTGACCCAGGGCAAAGGACTTCACATAATGCCTGACGCCAGGACACAAGCCACAGCCAGTCCCCACCTTTTGTCCTTTATGAGAATACTTACTGGTTCTGCGATTAGAGTATTGCACAGCACAAATACCCACGATTGCAACAGCCAAGATTATCCACCTGAAACCAGAGCCCAGGATTTACAAGCTAATTCAACTGAGACTAACAGAATTCAGACTCCAGTGGTATTAACGTTGTTTGCCAAAATGGAACAGCGCCATCTTCCTAGGCCTCGGTGCGGGCCACACCAGACAAATCAGCATCGCACGGACACTGTGGTGTCCGGGAAGCTGGCAGAGTATGATGACTTCGAGGACAACTCACAGACAGTGAAACTGAAGAGGGTGTGAACAGCTTAGCTATCGAGCTCATTTCTTTTTTAAGAAAAAGCAAAATGTTGGTACAAACAAATCATAAGCTCGGCCATCAAGTTTTCCCAAACACGATCTCCTCAGCGGTCACATTCGCTGATCACAGAGCAACAAACCAGCAGTGAATAATGCAAATAATAGCAAAAAAAGAAAACAAAACAAAACAAAAAACATACCTATGGAAATTTATAAAGACATACTTCAAGGTTATGTATAGCTAAAGAGGAATTCAAATAGAAATTACGAAATATTTAGAACTGAAAGCTAGAGCATGAATAACTGTCCTCAATGTGTTGAGTAGAAAACAGGAAAGTGAAACTAAGTGAACTGAATTTTCCAGCCCAAATCTAAAGAAAGTATAAAAACCAACCCAAAGAAATGAGAACATAGGAATTGAAAACACAAGAGTAGATCTAAATGAAGCAATGTTTTTTTTTTTAGATCTTTAGTGGATCTAAAAAAACAAAGCAAACCAAAACAGACAAACAACAGACTGGATGAACAAAAGTCTAAAAACTGTTTTGTAAGAAGATTAATAATAAGTTAACCCTTGGCACATGTGAATGAGGAAACGAAGAGCTGCCCCCCTCCCTGACATCCTCCCCCCGCACCAATCACAGGCAGGTGTGAAACACACTTAAGGGCAGGAGTACTGTGAGTGTCAGTAAACTGACTCCCTCACTAGGAAAAGGGGTGTCAGATCGCAGGGGAGAAAGGGATCAGGGGCATGAGAACGGGGCTAGGGGCTGAAACAGCTGGAGTGTTCCCAACGGCTCGCTGCCCCTAAAGTAGCCTCACCGTTAGGCCTACAGCTGGGAGGGCAGATGGGGCTGAGCCGCTAACTATGAGTCACACTTCACTGAGTTCTCAACACAACCCTGTCATGCTCTATGGCGACAGTCAAGGCCACATCCAATGAGGGAACAGAGCACTCAGAAGTGACTTCCCCTCCAGCACCTGGCCTCCCTGCGGCGGTTTCAGGTCCTTCCCACACCTATGCTTCTTCCTCTTCTCTCTTCTTCCTCCCGAATTCTAAGTGTGGCATTCAGCAAAACCATCTGCCAGTCCACACTAAAGATGGCCTTCTTTCTTACGTTAATATTAACTTCCATTTTGCAGGAAGGGTTAATGATTTTATGGGGCATAATGATCTACAGGCTCCAAAGCCCTGATAATGCTCTTCATTAACTCAAGTAACAATAATAAAACCAAACATTTTAAAGCCCTTACCCTGCGTCAGACACTCTGCCAAACACGTGACTGTTTTAACCTTGCATCAACACTCTAAAGGTAGGTGCTGTGATTGTTCCCATTTTACAGGGAAGCAAACAAACAGCAGCTCAGAATTCAAGTAACTGCACAAGGTCAAGTGCTGGCAAGTGGTGGAGCTGTGGGTGGAACCCAGGTTTGTCCCATAAAACAGGCTTAGAAGCAGCTATGGATCAAAAACCAGGGGTTGTGTCAAAAGGACCCAGGAGCCAATGGGAGGCAGCTTCCACTGGCCGAGTACGGGCTCCTGTGAACATCACTAAGCATAACTCAGTGGACTTGAAGCAATATCAAATATGTCTAAAGCCATGAAATCATAAACGCACTTAAGACAAACCTGGGTTGTATGACTTCATTAAAGTTGGAGGATTCCTGCGAACTTCTACTGAAAAGTCGGTAAATAAAAGGAAAGAAGCAAACACTTTACCTGTTTTTCCCAGACAGACTATACCACTGGAAAACCAAATCGCCAAAGAGACACGTTTCTTTCCATAAAGTTCTTTTTGCCCCCCAGAAATTGTGACAAAATTAAAATATTTCTATTTTTCCAACCCCCAATTAACAAATGGCTGTAGGCGCTGACCATCAACTGTTACTAAATGAAAGAATCAGACATCATGTGTCTCCTGATGGGAAAACACAGCATTACTTTTCCAAGTGTGCTGGACCCAAAACAAAAACTTGAACTGAATCAAGCCTCTGCTACCAACGGACAGAAAACACAGGAGAACACATTAAAATATGCCCCAGCGGTGTAGTCAGTAAATACAACCTGCGGGAAACTCCACTGGACGCAGGACTCAGTGCCGTCCACAAATAAATCGCAAGAGGAAGAAATGAGATGGGGCAGGAAGCTCTAGGTTTAAAGACCTTCACTGGATCCTATTCCAAACCAAGCACCATAACCATAAAATGACCACATTTGTAAGAAAACTGGAAAATTTCATACTGACGTAGATATTTGATGATGTTAAGGAAATAGTGTTAATTTTCTTAGATGTGATAATAATACTGAGATTATGTTTTAGAAGAGTATTTATCTTTTAGAAACACCTCCTAAAATATGGAGGAAAGGGTGGGGGCGTCTGCTTCAAAGGCTGCTTACCGGGCGGAGGAAGAGTGGGAACTAGACAGAACAAACCAGCTGCTCGGTAATAACTGTCGATGCTGTGTGGTGCTTACCCAGAGACTGATCGTGTTTTTGTCCCCTTTTATGAATGCTGAGGTTTAAACATTTCCACATGTCGCCCCCCAGCTCGGTGTGGGCACTGCCAGTTCTCACCTTCCTTTCCCCCACCCTGACACCTGTTTGCCAGGACCTTTCTCTCCTCCCCTCTCTCCCGTAACCTGAGTTTCCTCTGAGCTTTTGCAGACATCGAAACACTCGTTTACCATAATGATCCTTCAGGTTTCCCACTTTAACACAGTAATAACCCTGCAGAGTAATAATCTCCTCGAGGAGAATCCTGAGAGAACAGCCTAGAAATCAGGATGTCAGCAGTCTCTATTTCGTTAATGCAGCCTTCCTTTTCTCCTTGTAAATACAGTGTCTCTAATGGAGTTCTCTGTGTGTTTGCAGACCCCTCCCTGCCTAAGGGAGAAGGGAATCAGACTTTTTAACTCAAGTGCTGAAAGCCACTGCCAACTCTGCATCAATCAGAAGGAAAAAAAAAAGACTGGAGATTTGAACAGAGATATGCATGGAAATCAGGGTTTTCTGGCCCCAGGGTCCTGCCTGTTATGCAACCTTGCAAATGAGAAGCATTCCTGAGACTGTTCGGTCTTTGAACACATGGCCATTTTGCCATTATGGAAGAGAAATTAATAAACTATTTAAACATAAACAGTGTTCTGAGAGCATCATTTGCCAGACACAGAGGCCACCTCTCAGTGTGGGGTATTCATGGCACATTTAAATTCCGTGTCTTCATAACAAACCCAGACACAGTGGCCTGGAGTCCCGAGACCAGAACTAAAGTTGGGCTTGTAGGCAATTTGCTTCTGAGAAGGGCTGTAGGCCCCACCACCACCACCCACGGCTGAACTGACTGACAGCGCGTAAGCCAGAGGAGGTAGGCCCCTTGGTAATGCAGGTTCCGACTACCCACACCACAAACCCTGCCACCCTGTAAGCAAAAGATTTGCACTGTCATTTTCTGTTTGATGTTCTGGAAGGAAAGTGAAAAAAGTAAGACATTTTTACTGAAGTGGAATTATTAGGCTAAGTATAGTCGTTAAGCTTGAGCTATGGGCTCACATTAGTCACCTGCCACTTACTAACTGTACATACAACCCTAAGCATATTACTTAACTGCCCTGAGCTGCCTCAGTTTCCTTTTCTGTAAGAGGGTGCTGATTCACAGCAGTCCCCACCCTCGGGGATGTACTCTGAGAGCTACATAACTTCGTGGCATGTGGAACGTTTAGCCCAGTAACAGGATCAGAGTAGGCACCGGGGAAATGTTAGCTCAACTGGTAGCCTCTTTTTGGTAGTGTGAATGGATGAATTAAACAACACAATTCTTCTACAAAAAGGGAAGGCTTTATTATTCCCACACGCATATCTCAGTTCCATAGATCTTTCATATTGACTTCCTCAATCACAACTACCCTGGAGGTTTAAGAGAGGGCAGGTGTTATTTTTGCTGTTTTTCTAAAAAGGAGGGGACGGACGGCCTTACTGAGAAGTGCACACTCTCATTCAAGGTCACATGGTCAGCTAGGGGCTGAGCTAGGGCACAAAGGGGACAGCTGGAATCCCAGTTCTGCGCCCCTCTCTTCTAGACCACACTTACTTTCCTACCTTTATGGAAACTACTAGGCACTCTACTATTTACCCGCCTCCATGTGGCTGCCTTTTCCTTCCTCAAGAAGAGCAAGACTCTCACAGACTAGAAAGATTAGGTAACTGCCACCTTTGAATATCAAAAGGCCAGGAAATGTTTTCCTTGTCTGTAAATTTCTCCAGCTAGAAAGCAACTAAAATAAATAAGTAAAAATAAAATTTAAAATATATGTATATGTATCTATACAATAAAATATAGTTAAAGAAGTAAATATAAAAAATTTAAGAAGAAGGCTTACAGCAGGGGCATCAAACTCATTTTCACCGGGGGCCACATCAGCCTCCTGGTTGCCTTCAAAGGGCCGGATGTAATGTTAGGACTGTATAAATGTAACTACTCCTTAACAGTTAGGCGAGAGCTCAGTGCTGCTGCCGGGTGGCACTGAGCCACCACAAGGTGCTGGGCTGGATAAAACCAAGTGAAGGGCTGAGTTTGGCCCGCGGGCCCTGTGTTTGCCCACTGTGGCTCAGATGGTCTCTCTTTAAAAAAAAGAAATTTAAAGCAGCCTTTAACTGGGCAAGAAAATATCCCAAGAAGAAATCTGGAGGGCCGCCGACTTTCCCATTATGGGGTCAGCTGCGTGTGTCTGCAGTTGGGTGAGGGCCCAAGTTTGCTGTGACAGGCAGCGGCTCCACAGGTCACAGTGCTACCCTAGAGCTGAGACCCTCTCACCTGTCAGAGCTTCTTCATGGATGTAGGGGCTAAGCCAGGACAGTCACTTGCGGGCATCTCATAAGACTTCCCAAGCGGACCGTGTAGCTTGCTCTGAGCAGACTGGCAATGAAGACTTTTACAGGAACTCCCCTTTAACCCAGAGGTCAGTCCTTGTGGCTCCAAACTCCACAGGAGCCACCTAGAGCCACCCATCGGGTATTACCTGTTCTAACTTGCAAAACACAGCCACAGGTTAGAGGCAGGCTGGATGCTAAGAGCGGCAGGCCTCACAGCGGTGTGTGGAGAGGAGACTCAGCCGTAGAGTGTGGGAGTCACCACTCCACATTTCAATACCCTGCAGAGGTATCACCAATAGCACAGTTCACAGAACAACTCAACGTTCTCCATATGTTGCCAGAATGATGGCAGAGCTGGGAGACGTCTAGGAAAGTGCTCAGCCCCTAAAGCAGCCTTTCTGACCGCCCCCTCCTGTACCTGAGTCCTCAGTGAACCCAGTGCTTCTGTAATTCTTTATCATTCGATTTCCCGTGTTTTCTCTCCTGACCCAAACACTAAACCCCTTGAGGGCGGGCGCTGCGTCTGATTCACACACAGTCCCTAGCACACTGCTAAGCTCACCCCCTTTCTAACTCAGTGGAAATCTATGTTCAGTGAAGAACGGTCCAGTGAACCCAAGACATCAAGAAAGGCATCTCTATGTCCCGGACTCCAGGGTTTTCAAAGTGAGGGAGAAGGAGAAGGAATATAAACAGCAAGAAAGTTGTTCATGTTTTAGACGGAACTCCGTCAAAATGGTTCCGATGTTCACACTCGAGCTCCTAAAGTAAAAGGCTTCTGTATTTTGTAAACAATTACCTGTGAAATAAAATCTCTCTCCTCTGTTATTGCCTGCCCCGATTTCACTCATCCCTCCGAGGCCCCTCCCCTCTCTGACATTGTTATAGCCAGCTAGGAAAATTACAGCTAGGGCATTACCCAACCCTAAATCTGCAGTTCCTGGAACAGGGTAATGAACAAACATCCGGGAACAATTGGGTTTAAAATTCTAGCCAAATAAGGTAACTAACCCGGGCCGCCAGAAAGTGCCCGCCAGCAGCAGCACCCACCAATCAGGGACCCTCGCCGTTTTTAAATAAGCCAATAGCTAACCGCCACCTCTGCTTCTGTATGCCTTTGCTTGCTTGCTAGAAAATATAAATACCCAGTAGTCTGTAAGCCAGGCGCGACTTCCATTTTGTAGCTCTGAGTAG